GGGGAAAGTCATTTAACTTCTGGCACCCATTTCCTCCTCCATAAAATAAGGGGAATAAAGGCTGCCTCACAGAACTTGTATGGGGATTGGAGGTACTGTCTGTAAAGAACCTGGCACTTGTGAGAAAGGATGGTGGGGATACTGGTGATCACTGCTTCAGCTCTGGGATGGTTGGGGTGGGGATGGGGGAGGGGAGGCTCTTTGCATTTGATCTGGGGCCTGGGGCAGCCTCCTTACTCTTTCTGGGTTTTCTGGGTAATTCACTGTTCTTATGGCTCTGTGGGTTGGGTTTGGTAAACAATTCCAGAATTCTCTTTCTTCCCTTTTGGAGACAAAAAGGAATTTCTGGATAGGCTAGTCTCAGGGCAAAGGGCTCTGGGGTAGGTTATCCTGTCTGCATTCCTGGTCTAGTCTCATAGCTCTGCCATGTGTGGCTTTAGACAATCTCTTCACCTCTCTGGGCCTCAGAAGCATGGATGCTTTGTCCTGTAGGATGTCTTAGAGCTCTGCGATATTAGAATCCTATCCTTGGGTGTCAGTCATATACCTAAGGGAAGTGATCACTTCTTTATAGTGGAAAGGCATCTTACCTCCAAAGGCTTACCACACGGCCTTGGACCCTCCATGGATAATGTTCCCCAGCTCAGTCTAGTCTTACAAATCCAGACCGACCTGGAACCTTCCCGAGTTCTTGGTGCCTGCTCTATCTTCAGGGAGCAGTGTTGTGGTGGCATCACATGGGGTGGTGGCTCAGGGGGATTTTAGATCCCCCCCCATCTCCATCGGTTCTCACACTCCACACCAAAGAAATTTATAATCTAAGAAAACAATAGTGATGTGCTTGTTTGAGGGACAAATGCAGGGTTAGGACAAGGCCTTTAGCTCCCCTTCAAAACTGAATGTCACTTATAAACCTATCCTTTGTACATATTTGGCAGTGGCCAAAGAAGCCAGGCCCTGGAGCCTTGGCCCCTGCCAGGCCTAACCCTGGAACTCTGTGTCCGCACTGACTGGCCTGCTACGAGTGCGTCTTGGTTCTAATGTCACCCAGAAGCATGCAATGTCAGGGCTGTCAGGAGCCTCAAGATCATCTATCCTATATTCTCTTTGAACAGATAAGAAACCTAAGGCTGGAAATGGGAAGTGACTTACCCAAGGTCATACAGCTAGTAAGTGCCAGAGCCAGGCCTCAAACCTGGATTTTCTATGAGCACTGGGTGTTATATGCAAGCAATGAATCATGGGGATCTACTCCCAAAGCCAAGAGCACACTGTAAATGCTGTATATTAGCTAACTTGACAATAAATTGTATTTTTTTAAGCCCTGATTTTCTGATGCTGACTACCCTTTTTACTTCACCAAGCTGACCAGGAGTGTCTCCCCTGCCCACGGTCACCATGTCCCACCAGAGTTTTGAATTGCCAGCCCAGCAACCTGAGAGATGTGAGGGGGATTGGAGTCGCCCCTGGGTGTCTTCCGTGGGGGCACTGGTGCCTGGCTCCTTGCTTCAGAAGTGGCTCCAAGGGGCTGGGTGGGAAGCAGGAGGCCATTAGGACCCAGAAGCTCGTGGAGCATCTTGCTCTGCCGGCTGCCTCTCACTGCTCACTGCAGTGGTTCAGGCTCCAGCAGCCTTGAGAAGCATCAGCTGAGAGGAGCTATCACATGGGAGCCGGGAGCTGCTCAGCAAAGGTAGGAGTTGCCGACTAGGCCAGGAATGGGGGCCAGTCCTACGGCCTGGTGGTGAATGCTGAGCGACTCTGCAGGAGGGAGGCTCTGTGTCCCAGGGACCAGCCCACCCAGCCCACCCTACCTTATGGGGGGCAGTTTTGTCAAGGGATGGGCTCCCAGGTATCTTAAAGGCAGTATTGGGGTGTGGGCATGTCTGAAGCCTAGAGATGGGGATTGATCTCCTGCCAGCGAGAGTATCCACATCCCACAGGCAGACAGGGTTCCCCATCTGTCTTGCTCTGTGTCCTAGAGATGGGTACCCCACATCCTTGGAATGAGTCCCTTGGCATCTACGCCCATGGGTAACTCTGTGTCCTGGGCGTGGGCAACTCTGCTGGGGAGAGGTGTGGTCGCCCCCTGGAAATCTCCCCTAGCTTAGGAGGGTGCATGCTCTTGTCTGAAGAAAGGCTGGACTTGGGTCCTTGGGATGGAAGCTCTGTATTTGGGAAACAGGTGCATGTGAATCCCAACGACACCTCTGTGGCCTTGGGCTCGGCACTTATGCACATCTTGGATCCTGAAACAAGAATATTTGTGACTTGACCGTGCCCTTGCTTGGGGACCAGACTTTAGCGCTTATGGTGGCAAAGCCTGCCAGGTACTGAGAGGTCCTGGGGGTGAGGGAGGGCTTGCTGGAAGGAAGCAGTGGGAAGATGAGAGCATGTGAGAATGCATGATGATGTGAGCTAGGGGTGGAGTGAGGCTCTCTGGGCTTCCCCTCTGACACCGTCATGCACAAACCCCCCTCCCTAACCCTCCTGTCCCTCAGTGAGAGAGGTGCTGGGGAGCAGGAATGTTGGCCCATCTGTTTAGGAGGCAAATTGGAATCCTGGTATTTGGGAGTCAGTGTGGAGATACCGGCAAGGCTGAGGGGGCTATGGCAACAAGAAATGTCCAATGCCTTCTTGCCTAGGACTCCATCATGGCTGCACAGTACCCCCTCCGTCTCCACGTGGAAACCAGGTCTGCTTCCCTCGGTCTCGGACCCTGGGTGCACCTTGCTGGCAGAGTCTTGGTGTCCATGCAGACATGGAGGCCTGTCCTTTCGCTCCTAGGGCCTCAGAGCCACATCTTCTGGTTCCCACTCCCAGGTGGAAGGGGCGAGGAAGTCACGGCCTGGAGAGTAAGGGACAAGGATACTGCCCCTAGCGTTGCTCTCTGCATTTTTTCTGGTAGACGGTCTTGTGAGAGGCTGATGTCTCCACTTTTGAACCCTCTCTTCACCCTCTCTGTAGACCCTGAGACGATGTGGCCATTTTAATTGTGAAATGAGCTTTCTGTTATCCCCGGGCAAAGGCATATCTCTAGGCAATTGTCCAAAGTTAGGGCTGCCCCAAGTCCAGGAGCCCAGGTTACCCTTTCCAGAGCAGAGTCCCCAGCTGGCACAAAGCTATCTACTGAGCGTACTTGGAGTATGTACTAAGGGACAGGGATTTAACAGATAAGTTTCAGTTTGGTATAATTCACAAAGTTATATTGAGTACTCATTGCATGCGTTAGTGCAAGGTTGGTGGTAATGCCAAAACCCAAAGGTGATCATAAGGCTGTAACTATGGAGAGGGAGTTCCATGGTCCGTCCACTTTATTGCAGTCAGAGAAATGTTTTTTTTTTTTTTTTAAGTTTATTTTGAGAGAGAGAAAGAGAGAGAGAAAGCAGGGGAAGGGCAGAGAGAGAGGGAAGGAGAATCCCAAGCAGGCTCCACACCATCAGTGCAGAGCCTGATGCAGGGCTCGAACTTACAAACTGCAAGATCATGCCCTGAGTTGAAGCTGCGACTGAGCCACCCAGATGCCCCATGATGGGTTTTTAACTGAGCAACCACAAGGCCCTGCATAGCACAGGAACTCCCAGAGTCATTAAGTGTTGTCAGATATGGGAATCTTGGAGGTTGTCTAGTTCAACCTTCCCATTTTACAGATGAAGAAACCGTGATCCAGGGAACCTGTGACTTGTCTGCAGATAGCCCATCACACTTGGCATGTCCATAATTTGCCTCTAATTTGCATACCTTCACACATTATACTGAGACACTGTAAGAATAGGATATGGAAATGAAAATAATTTATAATTGCATTATTATTTCAATTATATGCAAACTTAATACGGATAATGGGACACATAAAACATTTGATCTGCCCTTTGATCAGGAGAATTGAGGGACGCTGAAACCCCAGACTTCTTCTTCTCCCCATTTCTTCCAGTTGTCTTCTCTGCTTTATGCAGAGATCACGATCACAGTGACCTACCCAATTCTTCCCTGCCCCCTCTCAGCGACCTACTCCTCCTTTCTTACTCTGGACTCTGCTAACAGACCAGGACCAGGAGGACTCTGGGCCAGGGATCTGCTCCAGTGATCAGAGATGTGGGACCTGGGGAGTGTGAGGTTAGGAGCATTTCCTCTCTCGTCTGCAGGGGCATAGTGGTCCTAAGAAGCTAGTGAGTAGGTGAGGAAGGGCAGCTTTCAAGTGACTTCTGCCCTGCTGGCTTTGGGGGCAGTGGAGGCTGGATGAGCTAATATCCCAGTTTCCATCTAGTGGGGGCATTATATTTTCATTGCTCCTTCTCAACACTCCCCAAATGGCAATTCTTTGTCTTGTAGGGGGTGGTGTAAAAGGAGGCTAGAGCAGGTCGCCTGGGTGGCTTAGTTGGTTAAGCGTCCGACTTTCGCTTAGGTCATGATCTCGCGGTTCGTGGGTTTGAGCCCCACGTCGGGCTCTGTGCTGACTGCCAGCTCAGAGCCTGCAGCCTGTTTTAGTCTGTGACTCCCTCTCTCTCTGACCCTCCCCTGCTCACGCTGTCTCTCTACTAGAAATCAATACAAATATTTTTTAAAAAAAAAAAAAAAAGGAGGCTAGAGCAAGGTCTTCCCCCTTTCAAGTGATCTCTTCCCAATGGTAGACCCAGAACACTGACAGACACTTTGAGAGATGGTTCAAATTCAACGACAGTTCATCGAATGCCTACTGCATTCCAGCCGCCGTGGGGGGCACCGTCCAGTGGGCTAGAGTACTGGCCCTGGAGCCCGAGCGCTGGGGCTCCGGGGACACACCCAGACCTTGCCACCTTTGGGAAGGTATGTATCCTACCTAGGCCTGTTTCATCAATTGCAAAATGGGAACAAGAACAAAATCTACCTCAGAGGTTGTGTGAGGATTAAAATGAGTTTATTTACATACAGTGCTTAGAAAAGGGTTTGGCATGTGGAAAGCACCATATAAATGTTACGCTTTATTGGCGGTATTGTTATGAAGTCTCACAGGACACTCCAAACACAGTTGTGAAGTAGTTATTATTCTCTTCATTTTACAGATGCCTTTGTGAGGAAACGGAAGTTCACAAGAATCCCAGAGTTAGTGACTCCCAGAACTGAGACTGGAAACCAGATCTTGTGTCCCTTCTACTCCCCAACAGCTCCTGCCTTTCAGAGAGACAAGACATCCGGAAATTTACATAAGCAACTTTAAAACTGGGGCACTATCCCGGAGCTCAGCAGGACCCTGGGAGAGGGAAACAGAGGATTTAGAATCTCTGGAGAACAGTGCCTGAGAGGGTAGAAGGGTATGGAGAACAGAGGGAAGGAAAACGAAAAAAGGAGCCTGAGACCACTCAGAAGGTGGAGTGTTGAGTGAGTGAGGCTCCGGCATCTCTCACATCTCCTGCTTCTTCGAGGTCACCAAGGTGGACCAGAGCCACCACCTGCCAGAAAAGAGAGATGAGCTTCTGAGCCCTCAGTTCCCTATGCACAGTCTGGCCTGGGAGGCTGGCAATAAGAGCCTAGCCAGGAGGCTCCAGCAGGAGGCGCCCTCCCCCTCCATCCCCCCACACCAAACTGGGAAGCCTGGGCCTGGGCTGGCCATCCCAGGGTCACTGGACTAGGATGGGGGATGGGCCTGTGACAGGAGGTACCCTGGGTGTCCTCTTCCGGCCCCATGGAGTCCTCTCCCATCCCCCAGTCATCAGGGAACTCTTCCACTCTGGGGAAGGCCCCTCAAACGCCAGGTCCCTCTACTGCCAGTGGGGTCCCAGAGGTGGGGCTGCGGGATGTGGCCTCAGAGTCCGTGGCCCTCTTCTTCATGCTCCTGCTGGACTTGATCGCTGTGGCTGGCAACGCCGCTGTGATGGCCGTTATTGCCAAGACTCCGGCCCTCCGAAAATTCGTCTTCGTCTTCCACCTGTGCCTGGTGGACCTGTTGGCCGCCCTGACCCTCATGCCCCTGGCCATGCTCTCCAGCTCTGCCCTCTTTGACCATGACCTCTTTGGGGAGGTCGCCTGCCGCCTCTACTTGTTCCTGAGCATATGCTTCGTTAGCCTGGCCATTCTCTCGGTGTCGGCCATCAACGTGGAGCGCTACTACTACGTCGTCCACCCCATGCGCTACGAGGTGCGCATGACGCTGGGGCTGGTGGCCTCTGTGCTGGTGGGTGTGTGGGTGAAAGCCTTGGCCATGGCTTCTGTGCCAGTGTTGGGAAGGGTCTCCCGGGAGGAGGGAGCTCCCAGCATCCCCCCAGGCTGCTCACTCCAATGGAGCCGCAGTGCCTACTGCCAGCTTTTCGTGGTGGTCTTTGCTGTCCTTTACTTCCTGTTGCCTCTGCTCCTCATCCTTGTGGTTTACTGTAGCATGTTCCGAGTAGCCCGAGTGGCTGCCATGCAGCACGGACCGCTGCCCACGTGGATGGAGACGCCCCGGCAACGCTCCGAGTCTCTCAGCAGCCGCTCCACTATGGTCACCAGCTCGGGGGCCCCCCAGACCACCCCGCACCGGACGTTCGGGGGAGGGAAGGCTGCGGTGGTCCTCCTGGCTGTGGGGGGGCAGTTCCTGCTCTGTTGGTTGCCCTACTTTTCTTTCCACCTCTACGTGGCCCTCAGTGCTCAGCCCATTTCGACTGGGCAGGTGGAGAATGTGGTGACCTGGATCGGCTACTTCTGCTTCACTTCCAACCCCTTCTTTTATGGATGTCTCAACCGGCAGATCCGGGGGGAGCTCAGCAAGCAGTTTGTCTGCTTCTTCAAGGCGGCTCCGGAGGAGGAGCTGAGGCTACCCAGCCGCGAGGGCTCCATTGAGGAGAACTTTCTGCAGTTCCTTCAGGGTACTGGCTGTCCCACGGAGTCCTGGGTTTCCCGACCCGTACCCAGCCCCAAGCAGGAGCCACCTGCTGTTGACTTTCGAATTCCAGGCCAGATAGCTGAGGAGACCTCGGAGTTTTTGGAGCAGCAACTCACCAGCGACATCATCATGTCGGACAGCTACCTCCGGCCGGCCCCCTCGCCTCGACTCGAATCCTGATGGGCTTCTGGACACTTGGAGGGAGATGGGGCTGGGGCTGCTTATGACTGAAGGAACATCTTGCGGGATCACCTTTTCCCGGCTAGCAGGGGCTGGGGCTGGGGCTGGGGTCTCTGCACACAGCTTTTGCTTAGTTTTTCTGGGTCAGGAACAATGCCAACAGGATGAACGTGTGGCAAAAGCCTTGGACATGGCTATGATCCTTGACTACTGGGGGAGGGAACCTGGTGAGAGGTAATGAGAATAAACGGTCACAAAGGTGAGATAACACCTTTCAACCAGTGAACTTTCCATGCCTCAGGAAGCAGGGAAACTCTCTTAAGGGTGGGAGGTGGAGGATATAGAGCAGCAGGCCAGGTTTGGAGTTATTGTGGCGATCTTTTAGGATATCTCATTTTTCAGGGTAATTGTCCAGGGCAGTAACTGCACCCAGGCAAGGTAAGAAAATGACCGGTGTCTTCTCCTTTCCTTGCTAGGTTTAAAAAGAACGAAATAAAGTACAGCTAATTGTTTCCATTGGAGTTAATGGATCATTTTCTAGTTTAGACCTGAGGGCCAGCTGGATATATATATTCCTTTCCTGAGTTTGGCCAGAAGCAAGGGGAAATAGCAGTTAGGGAACAGAGAGTAGAAGGCAGGAAAGCTGACTGCAGCTCTCTCCCACCCTCCAGGATCAGCCCTTCTGCTCTATTCTTCTGTCTCTCTCCAGCACATGGGAGAAAAAGCTCGGGGCTTGATCTCAGCAAAGGCAAGGATACAACAGGGTGGTTCTTTCTCCTAGGTTTTTAGAATGAAGAAGTGGAAGGATTGGGAGTTGGATGGCTGAAGGTGGGAGTTAGCATTTGAATGGCTAAGATGGTTGGACACAGAAAGGCCAGACGATCACCTTGACCAATAAAACTGTAAATCTTTTTTTTTTTTTTTCTTTTCCTTTCTAGGATTGGCCTCCCTGATCTCTCTCCTCATGGCAGTGACCCATCTCCAGCCCCCTGGACAATCGGGTACAAGAGACTAAGGTTGGGAATGGGAAGGGTGGGGTTTCCATGGTCCATTAAATGCCTCCCTACTCCCATTCATCGCTCTCAAAATTAGCTTCAGTGACAAAGACTTAAATCTCTCTCCTACCTGCAGTCCTGGGTTGGAGAGAGGGTGTGAGAGCTGGGTTCGGCTGTTCACTGTTTGAGACTATAGGAATTTGTTGGTTAGTATTGGTGGTGGTATTTTCAAGGGAGGCAGAGTAGTTGCAAATTGGACAGGACATCCATCTGGGACTACCTGTCCATCCACTTCCCTCTGTTGAATCAAGTGACATTAAAGGATTGAGGCAGGACCAGAGGGTAGTTTGATCTGTATTTGAACAAATTTCTGGCTCATTGAACATTAAAGGGTAAGATGGGCTGGTGGGAGCGGGATAGCTTCCCCTTTGAATGGCCAATAAATAATTTTTATTATAAAAAGTTATACTGATATCAACATTTCCTATTTCAGTCCAATTCAGTACATAATAGTTGAATATCCAGTATTCTCTGGGACCCACACAGAGTCACTGCCTTTGAGGAGTTCATAGTCTAATTTGATCAGGCATCTTGTATTTTTACAGAGCATTTATATCTGGTAAAGCATTAAAGAATTTTGAGAACTATGTTAAAGAATATATTGGAGTTCAGTCCATTGAACGTAAGATACATGGAAACTTCCTGTGGACTGTGGAAAGTGTGAGGGTTGTAAATGAAACCCTAGTTGAGGAAAATAATTTATTTACTGAAACTGAGCAAATCTCCTTTTAGATCTAGGAAAATTTACAAGTGTCTGTCTTCCTACCACCAGACTTACTCTAGCCTATGACCCATTATACTGAGGAAATCCTTTAAATAGTATATATACCAAGGAGAATCTTTTGTGACTGAAAAACAAATTCTCCTCGCTCTCCCTCCTTTTAAGATAAAGCCGTTAAGGGAGGAACCTCATTACTAGATAACAGGAAAAAAACTTCAAACATCATCGAGAAGCTAGTAGGCCCTAAGCATTGCCAGCAGGTGGCAGTGTGAGTCCGGTGGAAACAGGAAAGGTGCAGGTCGAGGGGAGGCTGTGAGGAGAGGGAATGGGGAGAGGGGAGGACATTAAACATTGTCTGGCAGCCATTTTGTTAATTTATTTTGCCTTTTCCTTTGACTTTGCCCTCTAAGCCTTCCTTCACATATATCAAAAAAGAAAATTTTAAGTGCAAGGATATCTCTAATTCAGGCTGAAATTTTCTGACACTGTGATCTCACTGGCATTTATTACAGAATTTGACATATGCTGGTTCATTTGCCATTTATTTTTCCGAGTGGATCATGAAGGAAATAAAAATTTCTCTTCTAGTATGCTGTGAATTCTCCCAACAATTTCTACCATGACCACCTTGCAGTTGCTTTCTACTCACCAGGATCATTTGGGAGAGTTTGCTATGTAATCCTTGGCTGTGCAAGCTGTTCCTGGACCAAATTTGACTTCTCTAGTTGGCTCGAGAATCAGGTTGAGACAACCTTCCTGTCATTAACTTTTCCTGCACCCCAGTGGTGTTGGGGTAACCCTCATCCCTAGGTGAAAACCATCTGTCATCAGGTCTCCCCAGGTAACATCTTATTGTGGCATGGTAGAAAAGGGGTGAATTCGGAGGCAGACATCTACTTACTCACTGTGTGAACTTGGGAAAGATGCTTAATTTCTCTGAGCCTATTTCTTCATCTGTAAAAATGAGGGTAACATCACCTACCTCACAGGGTTGTTGTGAGGAGTAAAAGAGATGACCATATGGAAGCACCTAGCCATACCTGGCAAATAGGTACTCAATAAATAATGGTTTTTATTCCCTTTCCTCTTGCCCTATTCCCCCATAGGTATTGATTATGGGAAAACCATCCCTCTTGTTCTAACAGTCATTTGGGAGTGAGTAGGAGGCTTTTCAAACTTTAAAAAACTGGCATTACTAAATTATAGTGGATGAGGTGGTTTATTGTGGCTCTCAAGAAATCCCTCCAGTTAATGAATCATCACCATAGAGACCTTTCTGTTGGGGCCTTAGGTTCTAAGGTTTAAATTCTATTAAGGAAATAGTTTTTAATCCCAGGGAAAGGTTTGGGGGCTACGTTCTCTCTAGAATGTACGATGAGAGTATTTGTGCAGCTATGTGGCAGTAAAGGCGATTTAGGGCCACTTTCACGGTAGTACCCAGAATTAGGAGTGAAAGGACGGAGTCTCTGGCTTCTGCAGTGGATATTTTTAGGTGATGAGAGAGCCGAGAGACAAATCTACTAGACCTTCCCTTTGTGTGTGATACTACAACCGGAAATTTTAGTAGGAGATTCGCAGGATGCACTGGTTTGTTTTGGGGTATGGGCCTGAGGTTAACTGATTTTGGTACAAGTCTGAAGCCCCTTAACGCAGGATCATCTATCAGCGCTAAAACTGGCTTATATTGGAGAAAGGCGGCATGGACATTTTTTGGAGAACTACACGCTTACCTTTCAGGTAACAGAATATCTTAGCGATTGCAAGTGGCCTTTTGCCAACAAAGTCGCTCGGCAACTCGTAGCTAACGGCACAAGGCCCGAGGTACATTTTGAGAGCAGGAAGGGGTGTGGGCCAAAGGAGGGCAGAAAGGGATCACTAAGGTCCCGGGCGCGGTCGGTCTTACAGATCTCAGATGTGAAGCGTGGTCGGGCCCCAGGCTCTGCAGTTTGTTCCCATCCTATAGATCGGGCTGAGACAACCCTGGCAAAGAAAGTGTCCTACACCTGGGAAGGGGCTTCGGGTCTCCTCAGCCAGAGGTCAAAGGCGCTTTCTGACCAGTGAGAAATTCTCAGCAGAAATTCCTGCGCGGGCTGTGGACTCTTATTTGGGACGGCCCACCCCTGCAATCCGAAACCTGCCGCGTGACCTCAGGAGGGTGCCACGAACGGGAGAAGCCAGTCCTTGGTTTTCCCACATTTATCCAAAGAAAGCAGCCGAAAAGGAGAGGAGGCACGAAGGTGGAGCAGCGTGCCCGGAGCCCGCTCAGTCCCGGCTATTCTGCGGAAATTCCGCTCCGCCTCACCGGCCCTCTCCCGGTACTTCCGCTTTTCGTCGCTCCTCCTCTACCCTAGCTGGACAGGTTTGAGCAGTAACCGCCGCGGGGCGTTGCCGGAAGTGTCGTAAACGCCGGATATCCGGTTTCTCCGGGCGCCCAGGGAGCTGACGGAGAGGGCCGCCGCCCAGCCGTAGACGTTGTCTCAGCGAGCCGAGCTGCGGTCTCCGCGGTGTGTGAGTGAGCCCGGGCTCTGTCCCCTCTCCCGCCGCCGCCATGGGCTGCACGTTGAGCGCCGAGGACAAGGCGGCGGTGGAGCGGAGCAAGATGATCGACCGCAACTTGCGGGAGGACGGGGAGAAAGCGGCCAAAGAAGTGAAGCTGCTGCTACTCGGTGAGGGGCTGAGGGCGGGCCTGGCAGGGTGAACGGGAGGGCCTAGGTACCCGGGAGCCCTGAGGAGGGGCTGGCCCGACCGGCAGAAAGGACCCCGAAGGGATCTGGAGGCGTGACGGCCGTGGGGCGGGGTGTTCTTTGGTGGCTGAGGCTCTGGAGGGCGTGATGAGGGGGTGGGGTTTGGAGTTGTAGGAATTAGGCTGGAGGGAGGGTGTGACTCGGCGCTGGAATTGCGTTTAGTGAAGAGAGCTTGGCAGTGTCGGGTAGTAGGATGTTGAGACCTGTGTTTAGGAATATGGGAAAGGCTCATAAAGGAAGAGCTGATGTTAGGGAGATTTTGCAGAAGGTTGGAGTGTGTTCATAGCAAAGAGGACGGGATAGAGTTTGTTGGGCACGTAGAACGGCTTATGAGTTTGGAGCGTGGTGATAACTTTGACAGGATGCAGTAGGGATGCTGGAGTGATTAATGTAAATAGAGGGCCAGGGTCACATAAGGACCCTGTCATTTATTATCGAGTGGGCATTTTGAATTGTTGGTAGGGTGAAGGAACCCTGGATTATCCAGGAACGTGAAGATGTGAGGTTGAGATAAAATGAGAAATTCTCAGATATAAAGGAAAAGAGCTTGGGTACAGAGGCTGTCTATACTTTTCCACCCTTTTCTATCATTTTTACTCTTTTAAGGTTTTATAACTCCTTCCTTTGTTATTATAAAGGGGGAGGTGGTGTGAGCTGAGGGAATTTAAGGACTGGCTTGTTTGAGGTTTGTGGCAAAAGATATAGTGGACCATAGATTACATACTTGAGAGTTGCTGAATAGTTGCTAGGGGTGACGTGCAGTGGGAATGGAGTTATCTTAGGATAAATTATGGAATTGGACACACTATAAAAGCTGGGACAAACTTCTAGTGAACTGTTTTTTATCTTTTTTGGTTTCTTCACACTAAAAATACTGGCTTCAGAAAACTACTGTTTATTTTACCCGACATTCATTTTGAGCAGTTTGTAGGTACAGTCAGATGCATTTTGCTCAGCATGATTAGTTTAAACGTTTTGGAGACTGGCTTCTAGAGGCTCGGTAAACTGTGTACCCTGGCATTAGCTTACTGATAAGCCACAATGCCTTCACTAATTGTATTTTCTCCAGTTCTTTTAGAGAAGAGTAAGTAGGAGTCATGGTTTCTGTAAGCAACAGAACTTTTTTAAACAATTGGTTTTTGAGAAAAAGAAGTCGCTTTAGGAGAATTGCCAGGTTTTCATGGTGTAAAGCTCCAGAGGACAGAACACACCACAGTAACCCAAGGCATATTTTGTACTCTAGGATGCGCTGGGTGCTGGTGCTAGTCTCTTGATGTTAATGTACTTAGTGGTTTGCAGATTGCAGAGGCCCTGGGAACAGCCCTTTGGATCTAGGGGGAAAGTTATGCATTGGAGCTCGAGTTTTTGGTTTGACTGTCTGACCTTTCATAACACACGAATTCAAATTGTAGTTCTAGACTGCCACTCTCTCTAAGAACAAGTACTTTTTGCGGATGAGCATTGTCCATGGCACATAGTAGGTGCTCCTTAAATATTTACTCTTAACTAGCATGAACCAGCTAATGTTGGACATTGCTCTTTGGGCTTTTTTAGACATTTAATATAAATCATTATAATACTCAAGGCATTAATGTTGTCCATATTGATTAATTGGTTATGAAATTAAAGATGTATTTATAAGTTTTGATATAACACTGGCCATCAGAGATCCCCTTAGGACATTAGCCTCGTGTAATACAGTTGTAAACTGTGAGGCTTTCTTCCAAATGGCAGGATTTGGCAGGCAGAATTTAGACAAGCAAATGTCTGGAAAAGTCTTTGTTCAGAACTTTATAAATAGTGCATTTAATTAAAAACAACATTAAATACATGATGATTTAGGGAACTTCAAAAGCAGTAAGTAAAAATCAAAGTACTAAAACGTTTGCTTTTCAATTTTTATCAATTTCATTGTTTTAAGTAAGATTTTTTTAATATTCTTGAGCAAGTTAAAGCAACAAATTTAAATAGGTTGCAGATGCAGATACTCTTGCTTGAACCATATCATTATGCACAGAAGTTAAAGTTATCCCTTCTTTTCTGTAAGCAGAATGCACTCATCACAGTATGCAGATACTTTTATTTTTTATTTTTATATTTTGCTGTAGAATACCTCTTTTGATACAGTCATTTTTACTTCATCACTGTGAAACTGTCAAACTTGAGATATATTTACTTACCATTGTCTCTCCTGGTACATAATGTGTGTTCGTTAAACATTACTGTATTTTCTATTTGGATGGATGTAGTCTAGTATGGTGATTAACAACCAGGGCTATGAAGTCAAACTTTTTCAAATTTGAATTCCCATTTGCCAGTTATAACCTTGGAAAGGTTACTTACTTAATTTCTCTGCCTCAGTTTTCTTATCTTTAAAATGTAGAAAAAAGAGCTACTTCATAGGACTGCTGTGAGGATTAAATATAATAATAAGGTGAAGTGAAACACAGTCTGGCACATAGGATTAGCTCACTGAATATTAGCTATTATTTATTAAAAAATTTTTTTTAGAGGGAGCCTGAGTGCGGAAGAGGGGCAGCGGGAGAGAGAGAATCTCACGAGAGCTCCGTGCTCAGCCTGGAGCCCAACGTGGGCCTTGGATCCCTTGAACTGAGATCATGACATCAAGAATTAACCCACTGAGCCACCCAGGCACCCCTAGCTATTATTGTTATTATTAAATCAAAAAGAATGTTACAGATTGTAGGTACTGTAGGAATTCAAATTAAAAACTGGTGTGGGCTGAATTAGTAATACTTCAATGGAAGCAATATACTTCAGTGAAAGGAAAACTTCAATGTTAAAATTTTTTGATTACCTTTGGTTTGAATTCCTTAGGTGTGTTATTGGGAAGATCTTGATAATGCCAAGTTAATCATAATATTCTGTGGAAAGACGAAATTGTTATGCAAAGCTTCCCAACCAGAGTACAGTGCATAGGGTGGCATACAAGCCACCCTATTTTTAGGGTGCTGTTTTAAATTTTTTAAAATAGTTTTGAAACTTTAAATCATTTTCATAACTTTAAAATTTTACGACAGTTGAAATGATATTTGAACATTTTTAGTATGATTCCCCCCTGTAAATTTTGGAAACATGGCAAATGAAAATATTTTATTTGGAAGGTTTATGCCAATTAGTATTTAATATCATCTGTAATACTTTGTATTTTATTTTTCATGTCATAATTTTATGATCTAAAGAAAATATACATTATTTTCACCAAGCCCCTCCAACTTACCTTAGTAAGCTTACAAATATCATTTTTAGTGTGACACCATGTGACAAAAGTCGGGAAGCATTAGTATAAGAATGGATAAGAGCACTGCTTACAGAGTCACTCCGAACTGAATTAAATTCCCACTTTCATTTCCTAGTTGTGAGACCCAGAACATGTAACTTAACCATATGAATCTTGTTTTTCACATAAATAAGGTGGGGATGATGGTGCCTGTTTCATATATGCAATAAGTTAATATATGTAAAGTGCTTAATAAACAAGTATTCAGCATTGGTAACTTCTGTTTTTTTATGATAATGTCTGAACGCTTATTGTTTTAGCTACTTTTTTCAGGGATGTTTCAAACAGGTAATTTGATTTTTTCAAATAATATATTCTTTTCAGAGGTCTTCAAGGAATTTTAATAAATAACACTCTTGTAAAAGGAATTAAGTATTATCATTTAGTTTTGTAAGTTATTGAATGATATAGTCTTGTGTTATCTTTAGGTTTTTATTTCTTGATAGTTCCCCTTAGCAGATCCTGAGAAAATAGTATTATACAAAATAAGATTAATGCTTTGTTCTTTAGGATTTTGCTGGGGTGGTATGGCAAAAGATAAGTTGCATACAGAGGATTGGAATAATCTAATTCACTTAAACCTTATGCAATTTATTATTCAGATTTAAATACCTGCATTTACTGGCTGAATATGCTTATTATTGAAAATAAGTGGTTTTTTTGACACTAGAGAGTTATAATTATGAACGTTTCTTTTAATTTAGCTTACACTAGCCACTTAATTTTAATTTCCATAGTACCTATAATCTGTAGCATTCATTTTGTTTTAATAATAATAGTATTACTTTTATCGTTTCATTAAATTTTGTTTTTTTAATGTTTTACTTATTTCTGAGAGAGAGAGAGAGAGACAGTGTGAGCAGGGTAGAGGGTCAGAGAGAGAGGGAGACACAGAATCTGAAACAGGCTCCAGGCTCTGAGCTGGCTGTCAGCACAGAGCCCAACAGAAGGCTCGAACCCATGAGCTGTGAGATCATGACCTGAGCCGAAGTCGGACATGCAACCAGCTGAGCCATCCAGGCGCCCCTGTTTCATTAAATTCTCATAGGATGATGTTCTTTATAATGTTTGCCATTTTTTTGGCATGAGATTCATAGACCATTATTACAATTCTTGTGAGGATGCATCTTGTGTCTGGACAAAAAAAAAAACAAAAACGAAAAGAAGAAACTGGCATAAAATATAGAAAGTCACATTTCAAAAATAGGTTAGTTTTTTATTAGCACTTTTTTGTGTCTCTTGTGTCTTTTATTTAAATGCATTGATCACTTCACTTTCTTCATGAAAATATGGTCCTTTTCAGGAATTACAATATTGTAATTTTCCCTAAGTATGCTAATTCTGAAGTAAGTACAAAGAAAACCGTAGAGTAGGGTCTTACTTAATAGATTTGACAAGGCATGTAACCTTGGAATCATTGCTGCAACTATCCGTGCTGTCTTCTTATGTTTAGTTTAGTTTTATTTTATTGGAGAATGAGGTTTGTCAGGGAAAGTGGGGAGGAAAAGATATTTTAAGTACTTAGGAACTAGAATATTAGCAGTAAAGTCCAAATATTAGAAATATGGGTCTCATAAGAAATGCATAGAGCAGTGGACACTAAATTGGTTCAGATAACTGAAGTTTGTTTTAAAACTTGTTTTGTAGTCAGAAGAATATAGTAGACCAGCGCTAATAAGAGATAGTTCTTTGAAGTGGTAACTGAGTTCATAAATAGGCGATCCCATGTAGTGTAGGGTTAAAGAACAAAGGTAACAAGAAATTGGGGATTCATCCTAATATCTGAGCTTTGTTTTCCTTTTTCTGTATAATGAAGTCTAATCATAGTGGTTTCTTGTCTGTGATGTTAATATTATCAGCCAGATGAAATATTTTAGCAAGTTATAAAGAGGGCTGTTTTTGTTATTATTTCTTTTGTTCTTGAGTTTGACTGAAATTAGTTTAATGTAGTAAAGCTGTTTAGGAAGATAGTTAAAAAGACAAATTCATAAAGTGCCCATAATGTAAATTTTCAAGAGAAAATAAGGAAAAGCATTGTAATGATTGATTTCCCCTCTGATTTTAATTGTCTTCATTTTGGTAAAATTCTTTTTCCCGGGTTAGCAAGTTAGAGTTATCTTTAAGCCTTTATCTATCTGGGCTATCCTGTTACCTGCTTAGCAGTCATCTGTATCATATCTGTAATTCAAGCTGCTTGAACTGAATAACATTGTGTTAGGATTACTGTTTAATTGTCCCAGTTTTTACACAATGCTCTATGTAAATGAAATATCCTATTTTTTATGTCTTGCTATTATTAAGTTGCAACAGAAACGAATATATCTGATACGAACCAAACAAAGAAAAACCAGAAAGACCAAATATGTTTGACTTGTACCTGACTGATGGCCTGGTGATCTTAGAAACAAGCTTCAGGAGGATATAGTCTTTACACATAGATTTCTTTTGATTTTCAAGTTAGGCTTGGAAGATACTTAAAGTTTAAGAGATTTATTAAGGGCTAGCGGAGGAGACGTTAGTGTGTTCATTGTTCCGTTAACTATTTTGCTGTTATGGGCCTCTTTTTGTCACCAAGTCTAATTCACAAATGGGTAAATGGTTTTATTTATTTATTTATTTAAAAAAATTTTTTATGGTTTATTTATCTTTGAGACAGAGAGAGTCAGAACATATTCATACAAAAAGACTTTGAGTTTTTTGGATGGTGTTAGTGTTTTATATCTCAAAAAGTTTTTGTTGCTTATCTTTGAAGTACATATTCAAAAATTTTTTAGTTGCTCATGTAAATCTACAGCTGTACAGTCAGGCATGTCTCACCATGATTAAAAATATACACTCTTCTATTTAAATTGTGCTTGTATCTCCTGCTTTTATTTATGTGGCCTGCTAGTAACACTTACTGCTCTCATGATATAGAGACCATTTAAATTAGACATCTTTTTTTTTTTTTTGATGTTTGTTTATTTTTGAGAGAGAGAGAAAATAAGCAAGCAGGGGATGGGCAGAGAGAGAGGGAGACAGAGGATCCGAAGCAGGCTCTGCGCTGTTAGTGGGCTCGAACTCACAGACCACTCACAGACTGGGAGAACGTGATCTGAGCTGAAGACAGCGATTGAGCCACCCAGATGCTCTTAAATCAGACTTCTTTAAAATTAATTAGCAAGGTAGCTTGATTCTTTTTATCTTTTTAAAAAAATTTTTTTTTAATTTACTTTTGAGACAGAGACAGCACCTGCGGGAGAGGGCAGAGAGAGAGGGAGACACAGAATCTGAAACAGGCTCCAGGTTCTGAGCTGTCAGCACAGAACCCAATGTGCTGAACCCGTGAACCGTGAGATCATGACCTGAACCGAAGTTGGACACTTAACTGACTGAGCCACCCAGGTGCCCCAGTTCTTTTTATCTTGTAGTTTCCTGTAATGGTTGGATTAAAACAAAAATTTTTTAAATGTTTCTTTATTTTTGAAGAGAGAGAGACAGAGCATGAGCAGAGTAGGGGCAGAGAGAGATGGAGACACAGAATCTTAAGCAGGCTCCAGGCTCTGAGCTGTCAGCACAGAGCCCAACAGGGGGCTCAAATCCACAAGCCCTGAGATCATGACCTGACCCAGTCAGACGCTTAACCGACTGAGCCACCCAGGCATCCCTGGATTTTAAAATTAAATAGTATTCCATTGAACTCTTAAGAACTTATTATGGAAATGTTATACTATCTTTGGATTTCTGTTTTAGTCATATATTGTTATCCCTAGTTTTTATATTTTTTAATTAAATAGTGTCATATGGAAATGGATTTTGCTCAGGACCCTGGAAATTATGTTTTACAGATTACTGTAAATTACAGAAGGATTGTTTTAAAGTGACACACTTTTGAAAGAACATTTCCCCCTCTATTTCCTGAAGTTAGAACATGGGAGTCATTAACTTCAAAACAGGGTTCTGTTTGAGGTAATGATATAATCACCATCATGATTTTCACAGATAATGTAGTTCTGATGTATGTGTTAGGATAATGCAGTCTTAAACTTTCCATGGAAGTTTCAGTGTTATGTATTTTTGAAAATAAACATTGAATTATTTCAGCTTAAAGATACCAATCTCTTAGACCATTTTTCAGCATTTCTAAATCTTCACATATGTTGGTTCATATTAGGTTGTTAAAAACTAACATTCTTCTCTTCCTTCTTCTGTTTCTAAGAAGTATATTTTTATCCTTTTATTTTTCTTATTGTGGTTATTACCAAAATCCACATTCATGTCCTCATTAATATTTGTACTTTTTTTGGTAAATTTTAATTTCCTTTATTACCAATAAGGTTGTGCAGCCTTTCTTAGATTTGTGGTCATTCATGTTCTTGAGTGAATTTGTCTTTTGTCCTTTTTTTTTTAATTGGGTGGTTTGCTTTTCTCATTGATTTGTAGCGATTCTTTATGATTTTAGATCACCTGCTTTTTTGTTCATTATAGGTATTCCAGATTTTTCATTCCCAATTTGTGGCTAGTGTTTACTTTCTGTTGATTTTTCATGTTTCAGAAGTTATTCATTTTAATATTTGTACTTTTTTGAATTTTTCAAGATGACTTAAAAGTTTTTTAAATAAACTTTTTATTTTGGAATAATGTCATGTTTTATTAAATATTTTTGTTTAGTTTTGAGAGACAGAGCGTGAGCGGGGGAGGGGTAGAGAGCGAGTGAGACACAGAACCTGAAGCAGGCTCCAGGCTCTGAGCTGTCAGCACAGAGCCTGATGAGCTGTTAGCACAGAGCCTGATGCTGGGCTTGAATTCACGGACTGAGAGATCATGACCCAAACTGAAGTCAAACGCTTAACCAACTGAGCCACCCAGATGCCCCAGAATCATGTCACATTTATAGGAAAGTTGCAGAGATAGTACCTAGAGTTCCTGTATACTCTTTACCTAGTTCCTCTTAATATTGACATCTTAATAGCTGTGGTACGTTGGTCAACAGGGCACAGCATTGGTGCACAATTGTGCACAGCATTGGTGCATTAGTGTTAACTAAACTACATACTTTTTTGGATTACATCGGTTTTTCCACTCACATTCTTTTTCTTCTCCAGGAGCTAATCTAGGACACTGCACTGCATTTAGTTAGGGCTGCTTTTTATTGAATTTTTGGTTTTCAGTGTTACGCTGTCTAGAGGAGGCTCATTTATGAACTTATTTATGATTAGGTATCTCAGATCCCTTTTTATGTGCACAGGTACTTTTTTAGCCTGGAGATAAATGAGAAATAACTCTTAGGCAGTTAAAGTTGTGGCGATATACTAGTGAACCATGGTAATATATGTGAAATGTGGTTACAGAATGAGTAACCAATTTGGGGAGTAGGAGAAACAAACATGCGAGGGAAGTCTTCCTAGAGGAGGGGACATTTGAGGTGGACCTTGCAGGATAAATAGGAACTTTTAAGACGGACTAGGGCTAAGTGCATCCACACAGGGAGTGGTGTGTACAAAGGCTCAGAAACCTGAGTGAGCAACTAGTTAGATTTGCCTGGGATGAAGGTTGGTTTAGGAGGAGTGTGGGAGATAAGGCTGGAAAGGTGTGCAAGGAATTAGGAGAGTGTTGCTTGTTAGCTGTCTTTTAAGCCATATTTGTATTTTATACATAGAGATATAGATATAAGTTGGAGGGAAATCATCTAGGGACTTTGCATTCTCCTCCCTCTTATTGGCTGCCTTTTTTGCCATTCCACTGCTATTCATGCTATAACCAAAGGTTAGGAAAAGTAAATACGTATATGAACTCCAGACTTTTGAGTTTTGATTTTTAGCATTGGTGAACATTTATATGGAGAAGGAAATTGAAATTGTAGGCATCCTTGTGATCTGACAACTCAGTTTATAATATTTTGGCATTTGTAAATTTTTAAAATGTGGCATTTACATTTGATTAAATAGATGTGTAGGAAAGGGCTCTGTGCTGCCATCAGTGTTTAGACTTAAGTGGGGAGATGATTCTAACATTTGTAAATGTAAAACTTTGGAATATGTGGGTTTTGATGAATGGATGTGATATTCCAGTTAACTTTGGAGGACATCACTACATATAACAAATTATTTAGGTTAAAAATGAGTATTTTACATTTCTATCTCACAAGAAAATTTCGAGGCAGAGCTAGAAAGAAATACACTTTTGCAAAAATAGTTTTTAGTCGTTTCATTTGTACATACCATATAATTTAGCATCAGCAACAAAATGACTATTTGTTGCTCTGCTTTTAAAGAAGTAAGAGGAAATTTACTCACCAGGGTCCAAAATCAGAACATTAAGACAGTCAGAGGATAATCCACCCCCCCCCCGCCCCCACCTTACTTACAAATGACTGCTCCCTTAAGCATTCTTTTTATATTCCACCAAAGTGTAGAAGAGACTCCACGACTCCCTCTTGATTGGCCGGCTGCCCAAAGGGAACACATGATCTTTGGCAACACTCAAGTTACCATATTCATATTGTCAAGGGTTAACATTTTGGGGAGAGCTACATGGCTAAGTAAGCTGCCTGCCCCCCAATCTAGGATTTCACACATTGTTATCTTGTAGTTTAGGGTGACTTTTTCTGTATTCCTTAGTGCAGATTCCTCAGATAATCTCATTGGTCCTATTCATCTTTTGGAGCTAGGTCACACAGGGTGTAGGCCCTTTGTGGGCCTGTGACTGGGTTAATCCTGTGTCAGGTTTTTACTCCTGATCCAATCACAGAGAGGGGAGTGGCTCAGGTCTTTCAGGCAGTTGCCCACTGAAGCAGCTAGGTAGGGATATCCCTAGTGGCAGGCATATATTCTGAAATTATGTCTAATATGTCAGTTTAGTTTTATCAAAAACTTCTTAAATGTACTTTAAGCCTTTTTGGTTGTTGGTATGTGATTGCTTCCTAGAAAAATCTTTTTCACAAAAGAGACCCATTATCTCTGTCTCAATCACACTTAACTGTCATCTTTTAAGATATTCATTCATTCATTCATTCATTCACTGAACAAATATTTGAGTACTCACTGTGTTTCATGCGCTCTTTTAGGTGTTGGGACACAGGATGTTCAGGAAAGATTTATAGCAGTTTATTTCACTTAAGTAGATGATGGGTGCAAGGGAGCTGGGATACAGTTTGAGAGTAAGGTTTAGAGGGGAATAAGAAGAATAGAAGGCTTGAGAGTGAGTCCAGATTTATTGTCAGGTATAGTTGTAGGGTGAGAGGTGAAGGCCTAGCCAAGCATGGGTGTGGGGCTGAGTAAAGATAGCAGAGGAATGGAAATCTTCTGTTAACTGCCCACATTGAAAATTCCATCCATTGCAACTGGCATTTACAGAATGTGATTAGGCAACTACTGAAACTCACAGAAACTCAAGCCATTCATCCCACACCTATTATGTGCCTACTCTGTCCTAGATGGGGGAGAGTAGAAACACAAAAAGAAGGCACTGTTTTGTGCTTTCTAGGAGTGTGCTTTTGAGTTTAGGACTAATGGGAGTCCTAAACAGGTACAGACCCAAGTAATTACAATAGTTTGACCAAGTATTAGTGTTAATGGTGTTTGACACTAAGCTGTAGGGCCGTGTTGAGCCTTGTCGAGTGTCCTTAAGGGAGAGGTATACAGATGTGGAAGGGTTTTCAGATCCTACTAGAAAGAGTTTCATTACCATTTTAATCAGAATCAAGAAAACCAATTAGCAGTTTATGAAAAGCAAGATTAGAAGTTGGAAAGACAATCAAATAATTTTTTTTAGAGCAGCGAGACTTGGCTAGAGATAATGAGGTGAAGTGGCTGGGAAGGATAGTTTGGGACTTAGTTTGGGAAATTAACCTCTGGGACTCATTCTGAAAGGGTAGAATCTATGTCAGCCATCGGAGTGGGAGTAATAACTCGGAGAGGGAATTGAGAAGGCTTCAGCAAAGAGCCGAAGTTTGAGTTGACTAAGGTTTTCAAGGGTGTTCATGTGTAAAGGCATAGCATGCTTGGGGGGACAGTGGGCTGGATGAAGCAATTGTTCTGATATTTTAGGCTATGGAAACTTGCTAAGAAAAATAGATCTAACTTTTCCATGAGACCATACATTCCTTTTTGTATTTGAAGTGTCAGTGTCAGCCAGTTCCAGACACATTTAAGAGACATGTTTGTTTAAAAAAAAAAAAAAAAATGAATAACAATCTTTATTTGCTCCGTAATGTTTTTCCCATCTGTAATTCTGCTAACCTTTTCTTTTACTGATTCGGGAGCAACTGGTTTTTCCATTAAGTATGGTACTTTCAAAAACATTTTGAATGAAATGTCATTTTTAGCCTTAATCTGAATTTTCACTTTGTTAGTTACTCATGCCTGTCAATAAAAAGAAATCAGTGGGAGCAATAGATAAGTTTATTATTGGAAATAGCATCGACTGTGCTGCTGTGATCTTTAGTTAGAGGTACTCATATTTTGTTTGTTTTGTTTTTTAAGGAATAGCTATCTAACTTGAGTATTCTGTTAGCTCGAGACTATGTAATTATAGAATACCCTCAAGCACGAATATAGAAGGTTGGCTACTAGATAACTCTTCTTTCCTTCCATTGCTGCACTCTTTAATTCTTTCTACTCTTTGTCCAGTCGTGATCAGGAGTGGGTGATTGGAGACCATGGTGATCACTGCATTATGGCAGCTATTTTGAATGATTGGGTTAATAGGAAGATGTGGATCTGCAGTTTGATTTGAAGTCTGTGTGCCAGAACTAGAATTTTAATCTGCTTTTAGCATTATAATAGTTGTAGTCATAGAATGTTAGAGTGCAATCTAGGCCAAAGCACTTCACATTTTGTATATAAGGAGACAGACAGACATTGTGAAGTTAGGTGACTTGCCCAAGGTCATACAGCTAGTTATTGTAGAGCTAGGATTAAAATCTATTCTTCCACTGAATTTATTACTACATGGTATCATTGACCAAAAAAAAAAAAAAAAAATCTATTTAAGTGAAGTTAGAAAAATCAAGTAGATTTGTTGATCAAGCTTTTAGCCCCCCGTGGGAGGAAGGCTATCTGTACATGATCTAGTCATATGCTCCCATGTGTCTGATAACGGGTGGAGGGGAGGGCATGTGTGGGTTGTAGAAAGACCAAGAAGAGTATCTTGGTCTAGCACTGGCTAGAGGGTTGTCTAAAAATATGCCATATTGGGACTTAGCTATGCAGACCTCTAGAAAGGGAGCCACACCCTACTTAAAAGGCTGAACTTCTAGAAGCTCAAGATTTCTCCACAGAAACAAGTATTTAAAAGGAAAAAGAGATGTTTCAGTTGCCACTGGAATTACCACTAGTACCCATGATAGTGGTACAAAGACCTTTGAGGAACATTCAAGGAATAGATGCAAGAAGTGCAGATGGGTGAGAAGTGTGGGAGAAGAGGTAGTTAGGAGTATCTAGGGGCTGAAAATATATTTAAAGAAGAGAGTGTTTTTGTTCCTTTTGGTAGGGTGGAGAAAATGATTAATGCTTTGACATAGTGTGCTGTGGCATTTCAGTTCTAAGTTGTGGTTTTAGTGTGTGAATCCAGACTCCATCTGGGGTTTTATTATTGTGAAATAGCTGTTAAGTAGTTATACTATTTCTGCTGGGATTTTGAATCAACTGTATGTTGATGTATGTTCAATCTCCTATTGACCTTTGTTTTACAGATTAGGAAATTCATTGTCCCTGAAGGCACAGAAGTATAAAAGAGTGTAATACACTTCTGTACCTTCCTTGGACTGGCTTTAAGTTTTCTTTTAATCAAAATGAAAGAGAAAAAAGAGAAGGCATTGGGTGACCATGTTTTTTGAATATCAGCCATCTTTTAGGGTTAATTTCTTTAAAAAATTTTTTTAAGTTTATTTATTTTGAGAGAGATCAAGAGTTGGGGAAGGGGGGAGAGAGAGAGAGAGAGAGAGAGAGAGAGAATATATCCCAAGTAGGTCCTGTGCTGCCAGCGCAGAGCCCAATGCAGCGGGGCCCGAACCCACGAACTGTGAGATCATGACCTGAGCCGGAGTTGGACACCCAACCAACTGAGCTGCCCAGGCGCCCTAAGGTTAAGTTTTTTAAATCAGTGCATATGTAAGTTGAATGTATTTATTCATGACAATTATTTACTTACATTAGCAGTTCACTGGCCTTTAAAAAGTTTTGCAAAGACAGTCACCCTCTCTCATTTTTCATACCCATAATGTAATATATGCTGTGGGAAGAAATAGGGGGAACATGTGATGGTGTCTTGTCTGCAGGAGCTCCTTAAAAAAGAAATGTAGCTTGTATTTAGGTAAATATAATGATTTTACTGTAGAGTATATACTGGTGAATTGTTTTTCATCTGACCTTTTTCTGTTTAATTGCTTATAAGAAGATTTTCTAGATTAATTCTGCCTCTTTATCCTCTGCAGATTGCCTTCCTTTTATTGTGAATAAGACCATCTAATTTGGCTCCTTTTCTCCCCTTTTTTCCTTGGGAAAATCTCCATAGCTTCCTCCCTCATCCTTTCTTCCTCTTTGTAGGAGATGTCCTTTAGATATATGTTGTTTTAAGGATGAGCCTTCTAAGTTGAAATGATTCCATTCCCTCCTGTCTCTAGGGCTTTTCAGACTTTTCTCCCCTCTGTATCCTATCCCCTGACCATTTCCATCCCTCCTGCCTACAGAGTCTTCTTCACTTCCTCCTTCTGCAAGCTATAGGTTGTATCTTTGCAGTTCCTTTGTATCTGTTCCATTTTTTGTTTCTTTAATATTATTACTCTGGTAGGATGAAGATGGGAAAATGGATATCTCCTTAAATTTGTGAATTTTTTCAAGTTTATTTATTTTGAAAGACAGAGAGAGAATGAGAGGAGGACAGAGGATCTGAAGTGGGCTCAGTGCTGACAGTAGAGAACCAGGGCTTGAACTCATGAACCATGAGATCGTGACCTGAGCCGAATTGAAATGCTTAACCGGCTGAGCCACCCAGGTGCTCCAAATTTGTGATGAATTTTAAAAGAAGATAGGTTTTAAAAAAAATGTAAATAAGGGAAGTTCCAAACATTACACATTGCATATTGGGGGAAGGAGATGAGACATGGGAAGCAGTTTTGGGAAGGCCTCAGAGCACGATCTTATTAGAGAGGAAACTTACTACCAAAGCAGTGGAGCACAAGAGGATTGAGGTAAAAATTAAGAGTTCAGACCTAATAAGAAAGGGCTATAGAACATGTTAGAAGAATTTAGAGAGTTATTAGTGCCATTTGGAAATGATAAGAAAGAGAGGCTCTGAGCTGGAAGTTTGAGAAATTTCAGCAGTAATATACAGTAGGCTTACTGTCAGGATCAGCCTTGTGAGGAGCAGAAAGGATTAATTTGAGGAATGCATAAGAAGAGAGATTTTGTTACAGCTTGATGTAAGGAGAGGAGAGAGTGAGTGTGTTCCAGATGATTCTTAGATTTCGTACTTGGAAGAAAGGTAAGCTGGTGGCACTTTTCTTGCTGATCTAGAAGCTGAATGGGTCTAAGACTTTTGGTGTAAAGTAATTCATTCTTTGCACAAAATGCCCTGAAACACCCAATAAAATACATCTTCTGTTTAGTTTCCGTGGTCAGTAATAGGTGCCTTGAAGAGGTGGAACTGGATGCCTCGTAAAAGCTTGGGTGAAAATATGTAGTGTGATAATAAAGAGAAGGACAAACTGACAGTTTATCAGGGAACCTTGGAAACATGAGAGAAGCAGGGTAACATACTTTTTAAAAATCATCACTTTCAGGGGCGCCTGGGTGGCTCGGTCAGTTAAGTGTCTCTTTGTTTCAGCTCAGGCCATGGTCTCAGGGCTCCTGAGTTCAAGTCCCCATTGGGCTCTGTGCTGGCAGTACAGAATCTGCTTGGGATTCTCTCTTCTCTCCTTTCTCTCTCTGTCCTTCCCCCACTCATGCTGTCTCTGTCTCTCTCAATAATAAAATAAAACTTTAAAAGATAAATAAAATCATCACCTTCATAGGGTGGAACTTAGATGAGATATTGATTGTTCATTGATTATTTCATTCAGTCCAACATAAAGGATAGAAATCCAATTTTCAATATGTGAAAAAAGTGTGCACATGACTTCATTAATTTCTATTTTTCCTCGTTAATTTACTAGCTGTGCTAATGTGGGATCATCTGGGAATTCTGTGTTTTAAACTAGTATTTAAAATATAGCTGGTATGCTTTTGTATTCTCTTCCCTAGAATTGAATAACTTTTTTTTTTAATTTTTAATTTTTTAAGTCCATTTATTTATTTTGAGAGAGAAAGAGAGAGTGCAGGCAAGGGAGGGACAGGGAGAGGGAGAATCCCAAGCTCTTCTACGAGAATTCGAACTCCCAAGACCATGAGATCATGACCTGAGCCAAAATAAGAGTTGGATGCTTAACTGACTGAGCCACCCAGGTGCCCCAGGATTTTTTTTTTAAACATCCATGGGAGAAAGCACTTTCTTTTAACAATGTCATTAAAAAGTCCTTTATGTGTTCTATTTAGTGCTACCCCTAATTATCGGTTAGATGATAAGAGCAGAGATAAAGTCAGACAGAACTGCCCTTTTTGAGTTTGTAAAAATGTAGATTCCTGGAATTTTCAAGTTATTTGAAATTTGTTTTATCTAACAGTTTTGGTTGATAGAGTTGAGAAATATTTAGTAAAGGATCATGTTATTAAGCATTAGTAATTTGTCTGGCCAACAATATTTATTTCCCTAGCCAATTTATGTCATGCCCAGTACTAGGCCCTGGGAATACAGAGATGACTAAACCTTCATGGGGTTTATAGTTTAGTGATGTGAAGAAGTGATAAATAAGTGCTCTGAAAAAATACTACTTAGAGTAAGGAGAGAGAGTATGATGGGGTGGGGACTATTTAGATAGATTAGTCAGAGAAGGCTGTTCTCAGTGAAGAAGAAACTCTTGCAGAAACCTTCCAGGCAGAGGGAATAGTAAATGGCAGAGAGCATGAGTCAGGATCTAGCTCATTGAGGAGCAGTTTGGTATGTTGGAAGAAAAGCAAGAAAGCTGGTCTGACAAGAGCAGAGAGAACAAAGTGGAGAATGATAGGAATTGAGGGTAGAGTGGTAGGCAGGGACCAGAGCATGTTTCACCTTATTGCCCTTGGATTTTTAATATTAAAGTCATTTATTTGTTTGTTTATTTAGAGAGACAGAGACAGTGGGAGTTGGGGAGGCACAGAGAGAGAGAATCCCAAGCAGGCTCTGCAGTGCCAGTCTGGAGCCTGATGTGGTGCTTGAACTCACAAAACTGTGAGATCATGACCTCAGCTGAAACCAAGAGTCAGACGCTCAACCGACTGAGCCACCCAGGTGCCCCTGCCCATAGATTTTATTTTGAGTGTATAGTTGACCCTTGAATAACATGGCATAGGGGTACCAATACCCCCATGCCACCCTGCCTCCTGGAAAACGGTGTATAACTTTTTGACTCCCCTAAAACTTAACTACTAATAGCCTACTATTTTTTAAAATTAATTAATTTCTTTTGCGAGAGGGCAACAGCAGGGGTGGGATAGAGAGAGAGGGAAACAGAGAATCCCAAGCAGGCTCTGCACTGTCAGCACAGAGCCCGATGTGGGACTTGAACTCACCATGAGATCATGAGCTGAGCCAAAACCAAGAGTCCCATACTCAATCGACCAAGCCACCCAGGCACTCCCTAATAGCCTACTGTTGACTGAAAGTCTTACCAATAACAAATAACACATTTTGTATGTTATATGTCTTATATGCTGTATTCTTACAATAAAATGAACTAGAGAAAAGAAAATATTATTAATTTTTTAAATATTTTTATTTATTTCTGAGAGAGAGAGAGACAGCGTGAGCAGGAGAGGGTCAGAGAGAGGGAGGAGACACAGAATCTGAAGCAGGCACCAGGCTCTGAGCCTACTGTCAGCACAGGACCCGACGCAGGGCTTGAACCCACAAGCTGTGAGATCGTGACCTGAGCTGAAGTCAGACACTTAACCGACTGAGCCACCCAGGTGCCCCAAGAAAATATTATTAAAATATTACAGTATTGTATTGCATTTATCAAAAAATATTTGTGTGTAAATGGACCTGTGTAGTCCAAACCTGTGTTATTAAAGGGTCAGCTGTAATTGGAGACCATAGGAGTTTTGGGGCAGATTTGTGACCTAATTTGATTTACATATTGACAGTTCATTCCAGCTACTGAGTGGAAAACTGACCATAGGAAAGGCAAGGTCTCAAGCAATGGACTATCTAGGAACCTTTTGCAGTGATCCAGGTTTGTGGTTTCCAAGGTGCTCATGATACAGGAAGAAACTGTTACAACTATATTTATATTTATTTATTTATTTTTAATGTTTTATTTATTCCTAGGAGAGAGAGAGACAGCGTGAACAGGGGAGGGTCAGAGAGAGAGAGGGAGTCACAGACTGAAACAGGCTCCAGGCTCTGAGCTGGCAGTCAGCACAGAGCCCGACACGGGGCCTGAACCCACGAACCGCGAGATCATGACCTAAGCAAAAGTCGGACGCTTAACCGACTAAGCCACCCAGGCGCCCCTATTTATTTTTCAAAAATTCAGCTTTACTAATATTTGGTATACATGTTGGTACTGGCACCCACATTCCATCTGTATATTAGTTATATGTGACCTACCATTAGTTACATGTGCCCTGAGCAGCTGGGTGAGTGCTGGTATTGACTAAGATGAGAACAGGGTGGAGTAGAGTTTGTTTGGGGGTAAGGGTAAAAAACAGGAACTCAGTTTGGGGCATTGTAAGTTTGAAATGCCTATTCAAAATGTAATGAGATTTATCAGGTAGGTGGTTTAGATGTATGACTCTGGAACCAAGGTTAGAGGTATAAATTTGGAAATCATTATCATAGAAGCAGTATCCAACAACTGGAGCCAAATTGTGTCAATACAGATTTCAGCTTTGCTACTTACTGGCTTCAATTGTTGACAAGTTAACTTGGCATCTCTCTGCTTCATTCACCTCATCTATAAAAAATAAGTGTCTGCCTTACTGGGTTATTGTGAGGATTAAATGAATTAATAAAAGCAAAGTGCTTAGAGCAGTGCCCTGCACGCTGTACACACTAGATATTAACTATTACTGTCAGTTTACAAATGGTGTTTAAGACCAGGGGATTAGATGAGATGACCTAAAGAATGAATGTAAGTAGAGAAAAAGGCCCAAGGAAGGAGTGCTGAAACGATACAACTTTCGAATCCAGAGACCTGAGGCAGAAGACTGAGGAGTGGGGTAGTGGTCAAACCAGGAGGGTATAGGGTCTGGAAGCCTGCCTGGTGAAGAAACTATTTCAAGGGGAGAAGTTGTCATTGGACAAATTCTGCTCAAGAGGTTGAGTAAGATGAGGACCTAGAATTGACCATTGGGTTTGTTAAAATGGAAGCTGTTAGAGACCATGAGAAGGGGTTTCAGTAGCGTGGTGGATATGAGCATCTGGTTGGGGTGGCTTAAGGAGAGAATTGGAGGACATGAGTATAGACAACTCAGGAAGAGAGTAAATGGAGTAGTAGTTAGAGGAATATATGCAGAGTCAAGGAAAGGCTGGTGTGGGGGTGTGTGTTGATTTAAAATGGAAGATAGTACTGATGAGAGTGTCCCCGTGGGAAGAGAAAACTTCTCATGTGCGTAACATGGGATAATTGCAGTAGCCAAGATGTCAGTAGGTAAAATCAGGTGGTTTAGGGCATTAGCAGAGACCATTCATCCACTGATGAAGGTGAATATTAGTAGGGGTACAGATAGATTGGTGGATTTGGTTATGAGCTAGTTTCTTGAGTGCTTTACTTTTTCCAAGAAAAGAGAGGAAAGATGATTAGCAGAGAGTCAGAAGTGGGAAGGAGTTGTAAGGTATAAGGTTCGAGAGAGACAAGAGGTGGTATGATATAGGCATCTTGGAAGGGGGGAGAATTAATTGACTAGGGAAATCCAGGTGAAATATCAAATTCAGAGGACTCATCTGACTTTGGTGATCATTAAAGTGATTCCAGCTGGCAGACGAGGGAAATGTGGTTTTGAGAGTACATACAGTGAAAAAAGTGGTGGCAACTCCTCTGCTTCTATTTTGAAGTCTAGTCACATGGCTGAGAGTATTGCTCTTGGAACATTCCTCAGATCCATGGATGTTGACAGAGGAATTAATGAAAGTGATAGACCAAAAATGAATCATTTCATGTTTACCTGTGTTCATTTTCTATATCATGATGTTTCCCTTAGAGGATGAGTTCCTAGAGGTGTTTATGTTGCCATATCTCCTTGAGCATGCCTGCTTTACACAAATGATATCAAGTAGGTCCTGAGATTACGTTCAGTGAATTATATTTGGTTGCTGAGTTATGCTAAAAAAGTAAAAAACTCTAAAAGGAAAGTTTAGTAGGGTTTTTTTTTAATGTTTATTTTGAGAGAGAGAGAGACAGAGCACAAATGGGGGAGGGGGGAGACACAGAATCTGAAGCAGGCTCTAGGCTCCAAGCTGTTAGCTCTAATAGAGCCTGACATGGGGTTCAAACCCAGAAGCCAGGAGATCATGACCTGAGTGGAAGTTGGACGCTTAACTGACTGAGCCACCCAGGCACCCCAGTTTAGTAGTTTTTCTTGATAGAAAGCCTCACCTGAGTTTTCTCTAGGACCTGTGGTTTCCATTAGTCTAGAATTATCACTCATGTTGATTTCATACTTTGTGTTCAATTACAGTTTAATTTAAAGTCTGGTTTTCTTTTCTTTCAGGTGCTGGAGAATCTGGTAAAAGCACAATCGTGAAACAGATGAAGTAAGTTGGAACATGGCCTTTTGTAAAACTACACTTCATAATAATGCATGGAAGTCTGTAGTATCTTTTTATTTTATGTCTGTGTTAATGATCTGTGGTTTTCTTTTTAAAGAATCATTCATGAGGATGGCTATTCAGAGGAAGAATGTAAACAATATAAAGTAGTCGTCTACAGCAATACCATACAATCCATCATTGCAATCATAAGAGCCATGGGACGGCTAAAGATTGACTTTGGGGAAGCTGCCAGAGCAGTAAGTGTTTCTCGTTTCCTCTTCACTTGCTCCTTTTGAGTAGGTGCAGTTAGACAAAATTCGCTTCATGTTTTAGGGAAATGAATTTAAGCAGCAAGATTAGATGTAGCAAAGTGATATGTGCTCTTTCGAGAAGTGTTAGCAACCTGCTTTCAGAGATCATAGATTACCACCACAAAGAAGAGTTAAGAAAATACGATTCTGTGGATATACTGAATAGGTTTCTGTGATAACTCTCTTATTCATTTGCTTCTTTTATAGCACTGTTTACTTTTAATTTATAGTAGTAAATGCTAGTAAATTGAAATAATCTAAAAGAGGTACCTCTGCCTTCTGAGGGATAGAGATAAAAGACAAAATCAGTCTCCCAAAATAAACTTGATAGGGACATAAACACGAAGTCAAAATTTTAGGGGCAATTTTTAGGTATTCAATAGTACTATATCCCTGTGCTACATCGTACTACAGCCTGTAGAATTGGATTATACGAGGTCCTAGGATAATAATTGCACATGTCAGATATTGAAAAATTATGTTGATTAACTCTAATACTTAGTGTACCATGTAATTCTTGTTAGTTAGGATGTTTGATGCAGTAAGGAAAGGGCCAAAATGAAAGTAGGAGATCTTTTATATCTCCAGCTATAGTCTAAGAGAAAGCTTGTAATGTATAGAATGATTTCCTAGACCTAAGGGACTCATCGACTTTGTTCAGAGTGTCATTCTTAAGCGCTGTGGACAATAAAAGGAGGCTCTGCCTGGAAAGATGAAGCCGTGTGTCTGTGAAGTAGCTTAAGAACGCTTACCTGCTCTCAGCTTATCAATAAGTTCTTAATCCAAATTAATATGCAGTAAATAAGTGGGGAAATCATTGATGGGAAAAATTGCAAAGGGATGGTTATAATAGGGTGGTATTTGAGTAGGAATCTTAGAAATGGAATAAGGGAAGAGGAGCCAGGGAAAAGGTTGTTAAATGATTGGAGAGAAGAGTAGCAAAAGAGGGGATGAGGAAATCATGTGAGGCATGACTTTTATGTTCTTGTGAGAAGGTGCCATATCACAAAAATTAAAGCCTTTATTTCTCTAAACCTCTGAGAGGGAGAGCATGATAGCAAATGCAAGAGTACATGAAGCATTTTTGTCTTAACATCTTTTCATCCCTTCTCTACCTCCTGCTTTTCTTTCCTTTTACTTTCTTTCCTCTTCCCCCCAGCTCTCTCCGGTGTTCTTTTTTTATTCCCCCCTTTTCTCATTTTCCTGTCACCCAGCTCTATGTCTCTGTTGTGTTTGCTGTATCTGGTGACTTGTCAGTACTACTGTATTTAGTCCCTTCCCTTTCTTTGTTGGCTTTTACTCCGTCTCAGTTATTTACTTCCTCTCTTTATTTCTTCCTTTATCTATCACCATTTGTCCTTTATATCTCTTAGTCATCCTTCCTCCTTTCTTTTCTTCCCATTATCAAATGAGTTGTATTAATGTTTGGGTCCTCACACTTCTTTGTCACCAGATACAGTTGACATTTTCTGTCTTGGTCCTGTTGTGCTGCTGTAACAAAATACCATAGACTAGTAGCTTAAAAACAGCAGACATTTATCGCACACACTTCTGGAGGCTGGAGGTCTGAGATCAGAGTGGCAGCGTGGTTGGGCGAGGGCCCTCCTCAGTTGCAGACTTTTCACTGTGTCCTCACATCGTAGAAGGAGAAGGGAGCTCTTTGGCATCCCTTTTATAAGGACACTGATCCTGTTCGTGGGGCCTCCACCCTCTTGATCAAACAAAGTATCTCCCAAAGGCCCCAACTCCTAATTCTATGACATTGGGCATTAAGAAATTTTGGAGGGACACAGATATTCAGACCATAGTTTAAATGACTTCCTTTCATTTCTTTCCTTTGTCAGATCTGTGTCATTAATCTTTGGGTCCTAACACTCCTGTGTCACCAGATGTAGTCAACATCTTCATTCCTGTTAGGCCTTCTGAGTCACCTAGCTTTCCAGCATCCACCCATCTTAATGTACAGCCCTACCTGATTTTTTGAATTTTCTCTTTTTTCCTCCATATGTAAGGGTTTATATTTATAATTCCTCACTTATCGTTGTCCATTTCTTATGGTTGGTTAGAGAGTGAATGGACAAGAATAGAGCTGGATGACGGGTCGGTTGCTTTCGTATCTGTTTAAGGGTGGAGATAGAAGGTTCATTGTAAAGAGAGGCCTCCTTTTTAAACAATTTTTTTTAATTTTTATTTAAAAAAAATTTTTTAAGATAGAAAGCATGAGTTAGGGAGGGGCAGAGAGAGGGGGAGACAGGAACCAGAGTGGGCTACGCACTGACAGCAGAGAACCTGATGCTGGGCTCAAACTCATGAGCTGTGAGATCATGACCTGAACCAAAGTTGGACGCCCAACCGACTAAGCCACCCAGGCGCCCCAGGAGAGGTCTCCTTAAAGGCCTGTAAAGAGGGTTTGTTGTGGGGAAGCCAGAGTAGGTCAGTAGAAGAGATTAAGTGGTAAGGAGAAAGTGTTTCCTTTTAAAGCAGTGTTCACAGTCAGGACAGCAAAAATATGTAGCTATAGCTCTCTTTCTCTCTCTCTCTTTTAATAACGTTTCTAAAGTTAGAATTGTGGTATTTTAAAAAAGTAATGCTTATTGATGGTTTTGAATACCTGCATGAGTATACTTCAAGTTTCAGAATAGATTATAAAGTCTTTACATGTTAAATAAAGCACCATACTATATATATGTAGAAGGACATGCTCAGTATTGTGTATGTTTGCTAATCTGTGTACTTTTTCAGATTTCCTCAGTCATTTGTTCCTTTATTAAAATTTTTTTCTAAGTTTATTTATTTTGAGAAAGAGCACAAGCAGGGGAGGGACAGGGAGAGAGAGAGACAGAGAGAGACAGAGAAGGGGAGAGAATCCCAAGCAGGCTCGTGGGGCTTGAAGTCATGAACCATGAGACCATGACCTGAGTGGAAATCAAGAGTCGGACGCTTAACTGACTGAGCCACCCAGGCGCCCCAAAGATAAAAATTTTAAATAAAGGAGGTACCTTTATTTATCTGATAGCACAGAGCCTGCTTGGGATTCTCTTTCTCCCTCTCTCTCTGCCCCTCCCCTGCTCTTTCACTCTCCCTCTCTCAAAAATAAATCAATAAACCAAAAAAAAAAAAAGTTTTTATGTTTGAAAAGAGAAGAGAGGAACATACAATGTTAGGTGAAGCTTCTTAGGGTTGGGCCTAAACAGTTACTTGAGAGAATGTAGGAAAGCATATTATAAAGGAGGACTATTACTTGGCAAAAGGTTTTAAGGCTGAAGACCCTGAATTTGGCATGCTTAGTTTTGTTTTGTTTTGCATAGTGGGTGCATGAGTTTTGGGAACACAGAGAGGTCTTAGTAGTTCATGGCTGTGATTTCACCTGTGTTCTGAAATGCTTTTTGCTTGCCAGTTTATTTTCATAATGACTACTTACAATACAATTGTATGTACAATTGATGACTCCTCTTCTCCTTTTATTTTTTTCTTTACCCAGTATATGTGTTTTTTAGTATCTGCATTTTAATAGTTATTTGGAAGTCTCCTGAGGAATATAAGTGTGAGATTTGATGTGGGGAGAGCATCCCATGACACCTGGGTTTGTTTATTTATTTAAGATTTTATTTTTTTTCTTAAGTAATCTCTACACCCAATGTGGGGCTTGAACTCACAACTCCGAGATCAAGAATTGCATGGTCTACTGATGGAGCCAGCCAGGCACTCCACAAGTTCTTTTTTTTAATATATTTTTTTTAAAGATTGAGACCTGGTTTATTTTTAAACTTCTGACAAGTAAGCGTGGGTAGAATAAAGCAAAAACAATCAGAGCTCTTACATCCCTTTTCTGTCCTATCTACAGTTCACATGTTTTAGGTTTAAAAACTGTAACTACTTATAAAGCTCTATCTTTGACTCATGAGTTTGGATCAAATCTCTTTGTAACTTTCTTTTCCTCTTGCTTTTTTTTTTTTCTCTTTCTCTTATTTAGAGGATTATTATTCCTTGGGGAATCTAGCAACTGAGTTTTTTTCTGAGGGATTTATTTCCCCCACTGGGGTGCCAGGCTTCGTATATATCTTAATTTCCTCTTCTTCCTGTTCTTCTGTCTGAGTTGAAGGGGGAAGAAGAGAACACTTTTTCCTCAAACGCAGTGAATGTTTTACTTGCTCTGATACGTTTAGACTTTATCTCTTACGTGCTAGTTTATTCATTTCTATTTTTATTCTAGGCTTCCTTTAACAGAATGGGAATATGTTCTATGTGCTCATCTCACAGACCTTTTTTTTCTGTCAAAAATCACGAGTAACCAGGGTGATTTGTAGGGCAGTCAGAACAGATCTTTTCAGGGCATGGTGGTATATGGTAGGGGGACTGAAATAATTCCTCAGCTTAGCTCTGTACTTCTTTTTTTTTTTTTTTTAATATTTTTATTTATTTCTAGGAGAGAGAGAGACAGCGTGAGTAGGGGAGGGTCAGAGAGAGGGAGTGACAGACTCTGAAATAGGCTCCAGGCTCTGAGCTGGCAGTCAGCACAGAGCCCGACGCGGGGCTCGAACCCACGAACCGCGAGATCATGACCTAAGCGAAAGTCGGACGCTTAACCGACTAAACCACCCAGGCGCCCCAACTTAGCTCTGTACTACTTTTTTTTTTTTTTTTAAATGTTTTTATTTATTTCTAGGAGAGAGAGAGAGAGACAGCGTGAGCAGGGAAGGGTCAGAGAGAGAGGGAGTCACAGACTGAAACAGGCTCCAGGCTCTGAGCTGGCAGTCAGCACAGAGCCCGACGCGGGGCTCGAACCCACGAACCGCGAGATCATGACCTAAGTGAAAGTCGGACGCTTAACCGACTAAGCCACCCAGGTGCCCCCTTAGCTCTGTACTTCTAACTGTAATGGAGTAAAGAGGGGGAATGACTTCATTGTAAATTCTCTCAGACTGCCCTGCCTGGAAAGGTCTCTTTATTTAAAAAAAAAAAAAAAAATTTTAATGTTTTTTTTTTTAATTTATTTCTGAGAGAGAGAGAGACAGGGTGAGCAGGGGGGCTCAGAGAGAGAGGGAGGAGACACAGAATCTGAAGCAGGCTCTTGGCTCTGCGCCTGCTATCAGCACAGAGCCCGATGCGGGGCTCGAACCCACGAACCGTGAGATCATGACCTGAGTCGAAGTCGGACACTTAACTGACTGAGCCACCCAGGCGCCCCTGGAAAGGTCTCTTACATACTTCTCTTAAAATAATGTAACATACTGTGTGTGTGTGTGTGTGTGTGTGTGTGTGTGTGTTAATGTTTATTTTTGAGAGTGAGCAAGCTGGTAAGGGGCAGACAGAGGGAGAGAGAGGGTCCGAAGAGGGCTCTGTGCTGACAGCTGAGAGCCTGATGTGGGGCTTGAACTTACAGATCATGAGATCATGACTTGAGCTGAAGTCAGATGCTTAACCGCTGAGCCACCCAGGCAGCTGTGTGTGTGTGTGTGTGTGTTTTAAAGAACTCCTGTCAAGTCTTTAAGAAATGTAGATTCAAATTTGTCTTTTTGCTTAATTGCTTTGCCAGGACGATGCCCGGCAGTTATTTGTGTTGGCTGGCAGTGCTGAAGAAGGAGTCATGACTCCAGAACTAGCAGGAGTGATTAAACGGTTATGGCGGGATGGTGGGGTGCAAGCTTGCTTCAGCAGATCCAGGGAGTATCAGCTTAATGATTCTGCTTCATAGTAAGTAATTTTTCCTTGAGAAACTATAACAGAAAATAATTTGGTGACCATAAGAAAGTTCACTGTCCTTAATGAAACATGTAAGTAACAGATGCTTGTTAGAAGTCTGTAGTATCCCTTGTAAAGATGGTTTCAGTTTAGGGTTATATAGCCCGTGGTCATTTTGTATGACTTGGAGAAAAATGCTTCCTCTTGAAATGTAAATGGGAGAATTGGCACGAAGAAAAGAAGCTCTGTGGTAGTTTATAATAAGTAAGTGAAATAAGAGAGAAATCTTTTGCAGCTGGATCCAGGATCTCTTCCAGCGCAGTAAGTTCCCTCCGCATAAGGACTTTGCCAGCTAGTGAGGGAAATTAAGAGTTATGATATCCCCTTTTATGCACCCAACTCTGTGGCTGGGCTGCACTATGGATTTCTCTGGTACTAGTCACCACTTACAAATCTTTTGCCAGATCACAGTAGTAGACTTTGTACAGAAAGAGAATGTTGAGTCTTGGAAGGAAGTCAAAGCATCTATTTGTCAAGGAAATTCTCTTAGATTTTACATCATTTTGGAGAATTTGTAATTAATACTTGTGCTAGGCTATTACATGGTATCCTGTTTTGCTTCTTTTATAATATGTTTATTTATAAGACCTATATTCAGAATGTATTTTTTTTAATGTGCTTTTTGGGGGCCTGGTGAGTTCTTGGTACCTGTATGCATTTCTATACTAATTGAAGGTACTTCAGACCATTAAGGTATTTTATCCAACAATCTGTTTTTCTATTCTTCATTCTAGTTATAGAAGGAAGTTAAATTAAAAATTTTTAATGTTTATTTATTTTTGAGAGAGTGAGAGAGTATGAGTGAGGGAGGGGCAGAGAGAGAGGGAGACACAGAATCCGAAGCAGGCTCCAGGCTTTGAGCTGTCAGCACAGAGCCCAACACACGGTTCAAACTCATGAACTGTGAGATTATGACCTGAGCCGAAGTTGGATGCTTAACTGACTGAGCTACCCAGACGCCCCGAAAAATTTAGTTATTCTTTAAATGAATCTTAACTTTAGAAACAAGGATCTTTTAATATTTTTTAGTTGCAGATATTTGTATTTTCAGTAATTCTTCCAGTAGTCATGAAAGCTAGATTGTAATTATTACTTTTTTCTTATCATACTTCATTAAGCTTTGAATCCTCTAACTATATCAGAGAACATGTGATTTATAGAGTTTTTCCCCCCCTGAATTTTGGTTGAAGCTTGACTAATTCCTAACATTAATTAGTTTTATAGAAGCTTGTTAATAATTCACTTATATTGGTACCACCTGTTCTTTGGCTTTCTAGCCAAAAAATTAAAAACATTTTTTTTTAATGTTTATTTTTATTTGAGAGAGAGAGAGAGATACAGCGTGCAAGTGGGGAAGAAGGAGAGAGAGAGAGAGAGAGAATTAAAGCAAGCTCTAGGCTTTGCACTGACAGCAGCAAGCCTGACTCGGGGCTCAAACTCACGAGCCATGTGTGAGATCCTGACCTGAGCTCAAGTCCTGTGCTTAACCAGCTGAGCCACCCGGGCGCCCCTATCCAAAAAATCTTTAGAAACCCTGAAAATTTTAATTTAGCTTTGAAGCAGTCTTCTAATTATTTTGCTGAATACTTACAATTTGTTTTTGGACTCAGATTTTTAAGAAAACCACCAGTTTTCTGTTTCATGAATGAAAACAGGAAATATTCTTATTGAACGTAGTTCTCATTTTAGTTTTAGTAATGTAGACACCAATTCTCTAATGCCCTATCAAGTGTCAGAGCCTACAAGTGGCCCATTAACTGTAAATGTCTGAGGGCTTTTGTTTTGGTTTGTTTTATGTGCTGTGCAATGTACAGTTGATTCAGTATTTAGTGTTAAATTTCGGGAATCTTTAATAAGAATAACATCTCCAGATTTGTTTTTAATTGGCCTTCACAGTTTAGTTTTGATAGAATTAAAATCACTTTTGTGTGGTATATATAGAACCTACTTTAATTGTTTTATGCTGGGTTCACATTTTTTGTCATCCTTTCTGTGATATGGCAGGTCTGATTTCATTCTGCCACTTTAGTGACAAGTTCAGAATCCACTTGTGGTAAGGAACTAGTTTATAGTTTAGTCTGGTGACTTGCTGTGCACGTGGTTGGTAAAAGTAAATGTGTTTTTATTTAGTTACCTAAACGACCTGGATAGAATATCCCAAACCAACTACATTCCGACACAGCAAGATGTCCTGCGAACAAGAGTGAAGACCACGGGCATTGTGGAAACGCATTTCACCTTCAAAGACCTTTACTTCAAGTAAGTCCGTAACTAGCCTCTGCTGGATGTGCCAGAGACAGGTATCTTTCCTTTAGTTAATATCTCTTAATCAGGGTACAATTTCTCTAGGCAGTATTCTTTGGTGTAAAAACCTACCATCCTGTTTATCAGCCAGTATTTGAATATTTTACCTGATTGGGGGCCCAGACCTTTCTTCTTTGTCCAGATAGCATCAAATGTTGTTGTCCGTTTGGAGGAATTTACATTCAAGATTAAAATGTAAATATCAGTAAACGTAATCACGTGGTTATCAGTTTATTTTATTTTAATTTTATTTTTTCCAGCTGCTTTTTTGTTGGAATCAACAAAACAGGTATTGAATGTTTGTTGTTTAGAAAGGTAACAACAATACTAAAGCTAGAAGACTTGTTTTTTGGTTTAGTTGTATGGCTGTGTTCTGCCATTTTGATATTAAAATAGAAATGCTTTACTCACCTGTCAGCCCTTCCTAACCGGAGTGCATTTCCCTTTAAGTTTGATGGAATGGAGCTTATGCTGTCGTGGCCCCTGGACTGCTTTGTGCACAGTATCGCACACAGCCGAGTTCTTAATGTAGTGTAGAATGGAAACTCGACCTGGGGAAAGAGGGATTTGGGGGAAGTATGACAACACAGAAAAAGTGGTTGTTTTATAAAGAGAAAATTCTAGAACATGAATACAAGGGACTTTCTAATTCGCATTAGTCATTCTAAAACAGGCTCTAGCTTATCTGTGCGTTAATAGTCTTTTGTAAATACTAGAATTGTCTTTTTGGTTTCAACTTTCTGCTTTTGTGACCTTTGAGATTGGGAGTGAGCTTCTCCCCTTCAGTATATGACGTTCTTCCCTGTTGCCTCATGATGCTTGTATGTAGTGGACTGATACTCACCACTGTCACACGCAAATGTAACTCCTATCTTGGAGCTTCTCAGTTTGCTTTTCTCTGAAAACATTTGCTTTGTAGATTTCACAAATCCACACAGAGTTTAGGTATTACTAGATACCAGTGGAGGTCTTGAAATCTTAATAAACCAAAACAAGTTTGAAACATGGTGCAACAAAATAGCAGTTCAACTGAATATTTGTAGAATAGGAGCGATGCTTGTCTCTAGCACTGATGAGTTTATCTGATTTATCACCCGGGAAACCATAACAATGAGATGTCTTTTGTGTACAGTAAGATTAGCAATCCATTTATAATTAAACGTGGTGAACTCTATTTAGTGCGGGAAACATTCTTGTTGATGTTGTGGATTGATCTTTTTGGATAAATCCTGTTCGTCTATAATTTTATGTCAGGATGAGTAGCCAGATCTAGTTAAGGTGCCGTACCCACTTAATTGTTGACATGTAGATATATTGTTATGAAGTACTATCACTTCTTCCTTTTCCTCTTCTCTCTAGGCAAAACCACTATCCATTCATTCAAATATTTATTGAGCATCTACTATATGCAAGGCATTGTGTAATTGCTTACTTGCCTCTCAGTTATGAGGTAATGTTTATAAAATGTTCATCTGTTAGTCAATTATATTGTAAATGTTAATATGTGCTAAAAGCCCACCTTGGGGACATCTTAGTATTCTACCAGTTTCATGGACTTTGTAGAAAAAAATGAAGGGGTAAACTGAAATTATTGGTGTCCCAGTGTGTGTCTCCCCTTGAGAGACTTTTATGGTGACATATATGATGTCTGCTTTCCTCAAACCTGTAATATGACCCTGTATCAAAGCCAGCTTGTGATTGCATCATTCCAAGTGTCATGACCAAAGGCTGAAAAAAAAAAGTTGTTAAATCAACCGAAAGAAAAGGCTGAGTCATGAGGAGATAATATCACTCTTCTCTTTCAAACGTATATTGAGAAATTACTCAGTGATATCTTACTTCTCTCAGTTTCTCGGGAAAAATTCTTTGGAAATAGAGCCCTAATCACCACCGTCTATCTTGACCCACTGAGCCTCCCTGCGTCCCTCCTTGGGCGCTGGTACCGGCTAACAGACGAAGCACTGCAGGTGTTCGTCTTACCATAGGAGGGGACGAGGACACTGTTGACAGAAGTACAGCAGTTGAGCCAGGATGTTAGTAAGGGAGTGAGGGACTAAAAGTCATTTGTGGTGGAACATAAAGTTTGTCAACAGCTGAGTTAGCTTCAGATGAGACTGAGAGTTCGGAAATACTGGCTAAGTTTGGTTTTTAGATATTGAGTCCTACCCTGAAATACAATTTACCTTTTCCAAAACTAATCTCTGAAATATTTTTTCCTTAAAATAAGTAAAATATATCTCAACTAAACCTCAGCTTTAAAAAAGGAAGCCCTTACATGGAGGAGGGCACTTTGGGGATGAGCACTGAGTGTTATGTGGAAACTAATTTGACAATAAATTATTTGTAAAAAAAATAAAAAATAAAATAAAATAAAATAAATAAAAAAAAAAAAGGAAGCCCCCTTTTTTTTTAAAGTAAGGAAAACAAACTTTTTGGGGGCAGAGTGCAAGTTGAAGATTTCTGTTGTTTCATTGTTCACTTGAACTAAAGAGGTAAACCAGTTTGAGACGTAGAGTGGTATTGTGCGTAAGAGCTGGGGTGCTGGAGTTAGAGTGCCTGGGTTCAGAGCCTCAGTCCCCATTTGTTAGCAGTGTGCCCTTGGGCAAATTACTTAACATATCTGTGCACTGGAGATAATAATAGTCCTTACAGGAGTGTTGTGAGAGTCAAATGAGTCAGTGTACGAAAGATGTGTAGGATTGTGTCTGGCATTGTGGTAAATGGCAAATATGAGTTATTCTTGCTGTTACCATAAGTTGTATTATTCAGCTCTTCATTTTTCCTGTCTTTTTCCTCTTCTTCCTTTGATCCGTTTCAGTGCTTATTCTGCTGATTTTTGAAATATAATTTCATCTGATACAAGCTTTGATGGAGAGGAGGCTCAGCTAGTTACCTACAATGAGAATTTTGATTATTCCTAGATTTTATTTGCTCACATTATCCTTTTTTCTTTTGACTACAGATTATGAGTTTGACTACATTTTATCTGCTGCTTGTTTTTCTATTCTAAATGGGGGTTTCAACACACAATAGTGGGAGGTTCCCTAACCATTTCAGTTTGGGGAGAGGTGTGTTTGTGACCTTCCTGAATTTGTGCTTTCTCTCCCTTCACTTCAGGATGTTTGATGTAGGTGGCCAGAGATCAGAACGGAAAAAGTGGATTCACTGTTTTGAGGGAGTGACAGCAATTATCTTCTGTGTGGCCCTCAGTGATTATGACCTTGTTCTGGCTGAGGATGAGGAGATGGTATGTTGGATCTTCTGGTAAAAAGCCTGTCTCATGCAGCCACGAAATGGCAAATAACTTAGGAAGATTCAGTGCATCGATTTGCTCATTGAGCCAAAACTTGATTCCTTAATTTTTTTCCTTGTCAGTGAGTTTAGAATCCATGCTCTATTCTTAAGTGATATAACAGCGCACTGAGAATGTGCGCAGGATTAGGTCCTCATGGTTGTCAGTCTTCTTTCTTCCCACCTCCCAGCCTCCAAGAATTATAAAAATGAGAACTGATTTAGCTTTTGAGTTACCAGCTTTTGGTTTATCTCCACGGATGCCATTCAGTGCTTTTAAACCTTGTTGGTCCGTTTTTTCATTAACAGTTAATCCACTTTTACTTGCTGCTACTGACGTCCTTTTTCCGCCCCCTCAGAACCGAATGCATGAAAGCATGAAGCTGTTTGACAGCATTTGTAACAACAAGTGGTTTACGGACACTTCAATCATTCTCTTCCTCAACAAGAAAGACCTTTTTGAGGAAAAAATAAAGAGGAGTCCATTAACTATCTGTTATCCAGAATACACAGGTAAGGGGTCATGAACGGTTTTGCTGGAGGTACACGTCTTAGGTCAGCGCTTTGGTGGCACTCCTCTACCTGCCTTTTATTTTAACAGTGCGTGTGTGACCTTACGGAGAGTGCTCACTGGCCGTGGTATTAACGTTAAGCATGTGAGGGGCGCCTGGGTGGCTCAGTCGGTTGAGTGTCCGGCTTCGGCTCAGGTCATGATCTCGCAGTTTGTGGGTTCGAGCCCCGCATCGGGCTCTATGCTGACAGCCAGCTCAGAGCCTGGAGTCTGTTTCAGATTCTGTGTCTCCCGCTCTCTCTGACCCTCCCCTGTTCATGCTCTGTCTCTCTCTGTCTCAAAAATAAATAAACTATGAAAAAATTTAAAAACAAAACATTAAGCATATGATTAAGACCAGTTAAGTCTAAAGTGCTGTTCCCGACATAATTGATTTTACTGTGTTTATTTTACATTTCTGTCTTTCTCACTTTCTGAGGAAAATAGAGAAAGATAAAAATCAAAATTTGGTGTAAGTATGTTAAAAAAATACAAGGATAAGATACAGTACTGCACTCAAGACACAGTAGTTGTAGGGAGAGGGACACACATAAAGAATTTCACTGTAGTATGAAATGTTCATTAACAGAAGTGGGTACCGCTGTGGGTTCAGTGTTCTCTTTTTCTGGAGGACATGACACTTGGAGTGAGATGAGAGGATGAATTAGAAATCACCAGGTAGACTGAGGAATAAAAGCATTTTAGGAAGAAGGACTAGCCTATAGGAAAATATGGAGGTTTAAAAAAAAAAAAAAAAAAAAAGACACAGTACATTTTGAAACCTAGAAGGCATTTGGTATCGCCAGAGCTTAAAGTGGTGAGAGGGAGTTGTTGGAGTGATGGGATGGAGTATGGAGTGCTTTGTATTTCATACGAGATAGGGGCAACCTGTTGAAGGGTTTTGATTCAGGTACATGATGTAAAAGAAACTGTGCTTTATTTATATTTTAAAGTTTTTTAAATGTTTATTTAGAGAGAGAGAGAGTGCAAGCAGGGGAGGAGCAGAGAGAGAGAGGGAGACACAGAATCCGAAGCAGGCTCCAGGCTCTGAGCTGTCAGCACAGAGCCCGACACAGGAATCGAACCCTGACACAGGGATCGAACCCACGAACCACGAGATTATGACCTGAGCCAAAGTCAGACGCTTAACTGACTGAGCCACCCAGGCACCCCAGAGAAACTGTGCTTTAGAAAGGTGATACAGGAGAGCCTAGGTGGCTCAGTTGGTTAAGCATCTGACTTCGGCTCAGGTCATGATCTTTTGATTCGTGGGTTCGAACCCCTCATTGGGCTCTGTGCTACTAATAGCTCAGAGGCTGGAGCCTGCTTTGGATTCTGTTGCTCCTTCTCTCTCTGCTCCTCCCCTCCTTTCTTTCTCTCTCTCAAAAGTAAATAAACATTACATTTTTTTTTAATTTAAAAAGAGTAAAGTGTAAAAAATACTTAAGAAAGAGAAAGATACAATAAACGGCAATAAAGATAGATAGGAGGTGGGGCGCCTGGGTGGCTCAGTTGGTTAAGTGTCTGACTTCAGTTCGTGGGTTCAAGCCCCGTGTCGGCCTCTGTGCTGACAGCTGGCTCAGAGCCTGGAGCCTGCTTCAGATTCTGTATCTCCCTCTCTCTCTGACCCTCCTCTGCTCACGCTGTCTCTCTCTCTCGCTCAGAAATAAATAAAACATTAAAAAAAAAAAGATAGATAGTAGGGGAGTTGAAATAGTAAGGAGTCCCTTAGGATGCAAGTAAAATCTTTAGGTGAAGATACAGGGATATATCATCATAGAAGCCAAGGGCAGGAATGCAGACATATCTTAAGAATACCATTTAGAACTAGGAAAGAGGAAAGTATTAGAGATCCTGGAAGCACTTTCTTCCCCGTCTCTTCTCTGCTTCTGTGTATCTTCTTTCTTCTCTGCTTACCAGCTTTCTGTGCGACTCCGTTTATGTGATATAAGATGGCCTTGTCCTGGTCCTTCTCCTGTATTTAGGCATGTACATATGTTTATTTGTTTTGAGGGAGGGAGACAGAAAGAGAGAGGGAATACCAGGAAGGTATTGATCCCACCACCACCACCAGATCATGACCTGAGCCAATTTTAGGAGTTGGGCACTTAACCAACTGGACTACCCAGGCGCCCTTCTCTCCTGCATTTAAAAGATGAGGCTGGGGCATGCGGCTGGCTCAGTACGTAGAGTAGGTGACTTTTGATCTCAGGGTTGTAAGTTTGACCCCACGTTGTGAGATTACTTAGAAATAAAATCTTTAAAAAAAATGTTTTTTTTTAAAAGACCAGGCTAAACTGATAATGATTGGCCCCAGGTTCAAATTCCTAGGAGAGAGATTTTGGCCAACATTAAGTCAGGTAAAAATACTTAGCCCAGTCAAGGTCAGAGACACAAACATGAATGCCATGGCTGCATCACTATAACCTTTAGGTCAGAATTTGGTATTTTCAAGGAAGGAGAACTTTTTTTAGCTGAGCAGACACTGTAGGTGCCCTCTGTAATCAAGTGAAAGAGTGTAGCTAGGGGAAGGAAGCAGAAAGAGTCAAAGGTACTCCCAGAGTTCTGTCATGATTGGCTGCTGGTGGTGTGATCTCTAAGTGATACTTAGGAATGTTTATTTTGAAGTAGCTGCAGAACATCAAGGTGGACGTATCTAATAGGCAGTTTTATATGTGGTCTTGGAGGTTTGGGAGAGATTGAGGGTTAGATATATTGATTTGAGGTCATTTATAAATACAACATGGAGATGGATGAGATGACATGGGGTGATGCTATAGAATGAGAACGGAAAAGACCATGGGTAGAATGAGAGAGAATTTCAGACTCTCTTTGGCAGGAGAGAAAGAAAGGTTTGTATTGGGTACAAAGAGGAGAACCAGGAGAGCCAAAGTATCAGAAGCTGAGCTTAAGGAGTGAGGGGTGGTCAACACTGTTGTGTGCAGACAAATAAAGTAAGGTACACATTGAAAAGTGGCCTGTGGAGTTAGTGAGTGTTGTTGAGAGCAGTGTCAGCGAGAAGAGAGCCAGGACAGTGAGTTACTGAGTGGGAAGTGGAGAAATGAAGATAGGTATAGTCTACTCTTGAGCAGCTTGGGTTATAAGTGAAAGGAAGATTTAAGAATGTTCATAAGCTTAGAGGTAAGATTGTATAACAGAAGAGAAGTTGTAAAAATTGGATGTCATTGATGGAGCAAGATTTGTAAGCTGGTAATGGGAAAGGAAGGAACCAAGGAATTCCATACAACGGAATTATTATTATTATTCAGCCATAAAAAGGAATGAAGTGTTGATACATGCCACAACTTATTTGAACCTCATGAACATTATGCCAAGTGAAAGAAACTAAACACAAAAGGTCACATTTGGGTGATTGTTTTATCTTATATAACCCCAAATAGGCAAATCCATAGAGACAGAAAGCAGATTGGTTGGTGGTTACCAGGAGATGTGGGTGGGTCCTGGGGGGAGAATGAGGAATGATTACTTTTTGGAAATGGGGTGTTTTGCTGAATTGGTGAAGATGTTTTGAAACTAGAGAGAGGTGGCAGTTGCATAACGTTTTGAATACATTAAATGCCACTGTATTGTGCACTTCAGAATGTCTTTTTGTATGTTATATAAATTTTACCTCAACTTAAAAGAGTCTTGGTAGAGCAGTTAAATTTTGACCGGGAAGGAAGACCTCTCTAAGACCAAAGGTACAAATAAGTAGAGATATAGGTAACCTTTTAAGTGAGGTGGTGGGCTAAAAAGTTGAGATGTAGCATAAGCTCTCTGGCCTTTGCTTTCTCTGGGAATATGGAAATGTAGTCAGAACTGGGACAGAGGTGAGAGGTGAGTAGAAATGTAGCCGGGTTTCAAGGTGGAGAGAAATCTTAAGTAGAAGGATTGACAGTGTTCTAGTTGAAAATCTTCCACATAGCAGAGAGCCCTCAATAGCATATCCCCCCCCCGCGCCGCCTTTTTTTGTGGGGGGAACTTCCAAACCTGTCTTGCGCTGTTTCATTCTTCTGAAGAAGTCTCACAGTCCTCATTTCCCAAGTGTCAGTATCTGTTCTACCAGACAGAATTTGCTTTTCAGTCCCATCTCTCCTTTAATTTACAGAAGTTCTGCAGATCTCAAGAAACCTGTTTTCACGCACCTACCAAGCTATCTTCCTTATTTCTTTAAATACTCTGTTTAAATAACATTCCTTTCTTGTTGGTATGTGTTGCCGTTCCTAATGTCACTTAATTTCACAAATGTGATTTGTGGAAAACAGCCTCTGGTTTACAAGAATAAAGTATTGTGTTTTCTTTGTTGAGTTTTTCTCGTTCTGTCGTCAGTTTCTAGGGCTATTCTGAAGGCTCACAGGTAGACAAGATGGTGTAGAAGCATGTGTAGAAGCATGTTAAGAGTGTTAAACAAATGTTGAAAGGTTTACTTTTGAGCCCCCCCTTTTAAAAATTAACAGCTTAATTGAGGTAAATTAATAATTTATATGCCACAAAAACACATTTTAATGTGTATAATTCAGACCCCTTTCCCTTTTGCATGTACTAGCTTACCTTTCATTAAATTATTGCCATAAGGCTCTGAAGCTGAACTCCCTTAAAACTGGTATGATTTTGAAAAGAAGCATGACTAACTCTTTTGAATTGTTTATTTCAAGATCACTCCAAAGAGCACAGGCTCTCTGACCTTTTCAACAGTTGTGTCCTAGCAACGCATCTTCCTACTTCTCTAGTTTCCTTTTATACGTTCTTGGTTTTTTAGCTGAAAAATCTAAAAAAAATGGGGAAAAAGAAAAAGGTTAATTTCCCTCAATCTTTTCATGTGATGATTTTGTTTTACTTACAGTCTGTTCTCAAGAAAGCCTAATGATTATACAAAAACCTAATGATAGGATTAAAGCAATCTGTCTATATTCACTTGGGTTATATTCCCTGACGTCATAAGTCACGGTGATGGCCTGACTTAGTGGAGTTCAGGCAGCTATTATCGTTTAAACTGAAAACGTTGGATGTCTGCTGCAGGTTCCAGTACGTATGAAGAAGCAGCTGCTTATATTCAGTGCCAGTTTGAAGATCTGAACAGGAGAAAAGACACCAAGGAGATCTATACCCACTTCACCTGTGCCACAGACACGAAGAATGTGCAGTTTGTTTTTGATGCTGTTACAGATGTCATCATTAAAAACAACCTAAAGGAATGTGGGCTTTACTGAAGACGGTTGGAGATCAACGAAAGGTAAAACTTCACACGGTTCGGTAGTAGCGCTCTCGCGATGCCTCTGGACTTTGTAGACTGCTCTAATCAAGAATGCTCTTCTTTTCTAGTTACTATGGCGTGGAGTGTTGAGCCCAGACTTCTTTTGCTGTCTCATTGGGCAGCTGCAAGCATGAACGGGACCAGGGAACGGCAGCAGCATGCAGACTCGTAGCACTCTGTAGCACAATCTTCTGTATTAGGGAACTCTTAATTGACACGAGATGCTAAAGTCAGACATTGGAATTGGAACAACTGTAAAGTATGATTCGATCATCAAGGCATCACTTGGATTTCATAATCTCAAATGTTTAGGGCTGATGCGAAGTTGAGGTGCTGCATTCCAGAACTTTTAATATGTAGCTTACTCTTTTTTTTCCTTCTTGACAAACCACCCTAGTTCATTTTTAAAGTTTTTTTTTCCATCAAGAGAATAACGTTACCAAATTTTATTTCTTTGTTTGCAAAAGAATCTTTATTAAAACACAATCTTAACTATGCACACGATGTGAGCAGATCATCTTGAAAATATTCCTCTTAGTAGGAACCCTTTGTTGTTAACTTTTGGTATGCTCAGAACATAATATTTCCATAATTACTTAATTCTTTATGGTTATTGGGACTATGATTATAGCTTTCTTGAATGAAATTTATGTTACTATCCTGTTGAAAGTACCATTATGGTTTTTAAATGGTAATCACATTGGAGAGTTCTGTAATAAGATTCTCGCTTTCTAACTTTTGTTTAAGTTTAGGGTTTAAGGTTAACCTGGTTTATGCTGATTACCAAATTACTAGGTAAACGCTGATGTAGGATGTAAAGTTAGCTTCTTGGATATGGACACACCTAGGGCAGCCGTCAATTAGAAATGCAAATTGCAAAATTCCAGACCGAAACCATGACTTTGCTGCTACATATCTACTAAATTGACCACTTTGGTTCTTGCCTGTTTGTCTCAGTCATAGGGAGTTCTGTAAAAGATGCCCCTTGTTTTCCATCTTCCATGGCCTTTTCTGTTGGGAAACATCTAAAGTGTATTAACAGTGCATGCTTTTACTTTGTAAACATGGTGCCAAATCCCTGTTTGCCATTGTTTTTATTGTAGCAATGTTAATTGTAGTAATCCTTAGTCAGTACCTTCTTTTACCGAAACTCTTGAATTTTGGGACTTTTTCCACTGTGTTGTATGTACAGATTTTAATCTGTTATAGTTGGCAGCAGTATTAAAATGGTGAGTAAAGAGTCCAGGTTTGTTCCTGTTTGTAATTAGTCCTTTCTGGAAATATTTTCTTCTGTTTCTTTTTGTTCCTGCTGAATGTGCTTTGGCCTTTGTCTGAGAATGGGTTTAGGTGGAGGGTTCCCTGAAGGTCTAGTCTTTTGGTGTAGTAGCATTGTTTTATTTTGGGCCGACTAAGGATCTTATGTCATATCTGTGTCAGTAACATGCAGTCGTAATCCATTTTCCAGGTTTACATTTTGGTTATGTGGAGAGCTTTATTCACCTCGGCCTGCAGGTCCTTGTGTATAATGTACAGCAAACGTCCTTAAATATTGAATGGGCCTTTGGGGGAAGGCAAATGAAGAGAATGCATTGTGAGCATTCCAGATCAGCAGTTTGAGCAGTGCCTTTGGGGTCCAGTCTTTTTGGACTGGATTCTATGTCCTCTTTTGGTTTAAAAAAAAAAAAAAAAAAGAAACAAGAATGACGGTCGTCAGAACTGATTCAGAAAGCAAGCCTCAGCAGTTCAGTGCCTTTATTAGAATTATTTTTCTTACTCTTTTTGGAAAAGTATAATTATGCAGATGCTGTAACTGTATTATCTAAACAGTTTTTTTAGGGCTAGAAAGAAAATGATCAGCTTTGATTGGTGATTAGCTTATGCCTGCAACGTAGATAAGATTGACGATTCCTATTCATTTTGAATATATCTTTTCCTTATCGTATTTTGTGCTCTAGGATCATCCAGACATGAGAACTGGCGGAATAGTGTTTTGACTGTGGTCTTTCTATAGTCAGGGCTAATGGGATGGTGGTGATGATAATCCAAAAGGATAAATAATCTAAGTTAATTTTATTTTGAAATGCACCGTGTATTTTCATTTGAATACATCTATCTGATATGTTAATTTTTTTTTTTTAGCTTTTCTGTTAATGAAAAACAGTAATTCTCCAGTTTCTTGCCCCCATGCCATCTACATTTTTCTTTATTCACATGAATATCACCCCCTACCCTACCATCCCAAGTAACTTATCTAAATGCACATTCCTGGAGGATGCAGGGACACAATTCAAGTCATTGGTTTTCAAATATGCCTTAAGTCAAAATCTCCTGGATCCATTCCAGAGATTGGCTCTTGGCTGGCGGGCCTAGTGATCTATAATTTTAAAAAGGTGATTCTTATCATCAGCCTTGCAAATCACTGTTGTGTTTTGAAATAAAAGATCTTTTCTAATAGCAGAGCCAGAGTGTGGGGGTGAAACATCATGTGTACTAGCCTGGAGAAAAAAGGATTGATATTTGTAATCAAAGAAACTAAAAGTTGCCTTGTGTCTTTTCTGTGGGAGAATGCTGGATGTTTGTGATGGACTGCATTTCAGTATTCATGTGGCCAGGCTTTGGACCATCTTAGAAACTAGCACATCTACGAAAATTAAATTTTAATGAGAAGAGAACAGTAACTAGACCTTAGTAGGAAGGAGTGGAACAACAGCTTTATTTTGTTGATAGTCTCATCTCCACCTGATTAAAACCTTGGGCTACAGAAATGCCTTTCGTGAGGCTCTATTTAAAGAGGATGTATTCTCCTTAAAGGCCAGTGTTCCCCAACCTTAGAATCTCAGCCTTGCGGCAGGTTTCACCTCCTGGCATGAAAATTGAAGAACTTTTATAGTTCTTCATAAGCGGATCTTGGGATGACATTTCATCTTGGACAGTTTAAGTTCTAAATCTCTAGTTCAGTGTATTGTTTTATTTCTATTTCCAATGATGGATTGTTATTCTTTATAAGGTGCTGCATTCTAAGAATAGATGGACCAAAGTTTAAAAACCATTTTCTTGCCTTGTTTCTTATACTTTTATGTGTTCTATTTGTGTTTTATTGTGTGCACATTTTAGAGTATTTAAAAATAACTGCTGGTTCTTCTAATTCATATGCCCACCTTATATTCTTATATTCTGGCCACTGTTCAGTTTGTAGCTGTGACTTTCTTTGGGACTGACTTGTCTAGCCTGACTAGTTGTTTCATGTATTTATACATTGGTGTAGCATAGTTCTGGAGTATCCTGGCTCACAGCTTGCTGCTGTATTGGCAGTAACATATAAGGTAAAGTTGGTCTTTCGTTCTGATTAAAAACCTCCCTTTGACTGATTTTCCCCCCTCCAGATGTTCAGATGTTTATTTGAGAGAGAGAGTATGCGCACGTTCGTGCACTCATGTAAGGGGCAGAGAGAGAGAGAAAAACTCAAGCAGTCTCCACATGTTTAGTGCATAGCTCAGTGCAAGGCTCAATCTCCTGAGTTATAAGATCAGGGCTTGAGCCAAAATCAAGAGTAGGACACTTAACCAACTGAGCCACCCAGGCATCCGTCTCCTTCCAGATGTTCAAAAAACCACAGTCCTTTACTCATTTAAATATACCAAAAACAGCACTAGTTTTCTTCACTCTTAACTACTAATGAAATCTTTCATATCTTATACTGACTTAAAAAAATGTTTTTAATTTATTTTTGAGAGAGAAAGAGCATGAGCAGGGGAGGGGCAGAGAGAGAGAGGGAGACACAGAATCTGAAATAGCTCCAGGCTCTGAGCTGGTCAGTACAGAGCCCCACGCAGGGCTTGAACCCACAAACCGTGAGATCACAAGCTGAGCCGAAGTCAGACACTCAACCGACTGAGGCACCCAGGTACTCCTCTTATACTGACTTTAAGGACAAAGTTATTTCAGTTTCCTAGTACTGCCAGGTCATTCGTCAGGCTTCCACAGTACAAGTCAGAGATCTGACCTAGACCATCCACACACAGCTCTCCACGTAGCTTTATGGCTGTCTGAGCACGAGAGAAAACCAGGCTACGGAGAGGCCTGAAATTGAAAGTTGATCTTGTTAGCAGCTATCAGGAAGTAAAAGATTGAGGTGAGGCACTAGGGAATGAACTTCCTGGATGGTCAAGATCTTTGTTCCTTTACCTTCAAGTTTTAACCTGCCACCGCCATTTTCTCATAACCTATGTGAATTACTTCTGCTAGGAGAACATACTCCAAAACAAGTCAGGGCAGGACAGCTTTTTCTGATAGTATGTCATGCTTACATACCTGGCTCGACTCAAGTCTTCTTAGGAATGAGAGATAATAAAGAAGGTTATACGGTATTAGATACATGAGGTACAAGATTAACACAGACAGATTCCCTGGCTAAACTCTACTAAATTAAGATGTTGGAGACAGGAGACAGGTCTTGGGAACATGTATTTTTAAGTAGGTTTCCGAGGTGGTTCTGATGAAGTAACCTGGGCCAACTTTTGGGGATAACTGAATAGGACCTAATATTAAACAACACAAATAGTAGACAGATAACCTTAAAATCACTAGTAAAACGACTGAGGTATTTTTTTATTTGTCAACAAATCAGCAGCACCTTTTGTATGTGCCTTAGAGTGCTGTCCACCAAAAAAATTAGTATGAGAACTGTTTTAGTCAAAGAACATTCCTACACTTTTGATACAGAGTATTTAATTTTTATACAAAATTAACACAAAACACTTGAAGTTTCCAAACATTGGTTTCATTTATCTTACTGCATTTATTCAGTGAAAATGGAAAGATACCTCAAAGTAAAGATAAAATCCTGTGACAGAGGTCTAACTATATGTATGTAATAACATGAATATTCATTCCCAGTTGGTGGATAAAGAGCAAAGCTAGCTAGTTCCAAATTATAGACTGGAAAGTCCTTTTGAAACAAGGCTAGGGAAAGGATAGAGAAGGGGAATGTTTGAGGAGCCAGTAGAAAACTGTATGTTTGCTGCTAACCCGTGTTCTCTTCCTGAAATCTAGTGGGAATGAACAAGGTAGCAGAAATAATCCAGTATTGGCAAATACACTGCTGGGATACACTGTCTCAAGGTATTAGCATTCAGATGTAAGATCTTTGACAGCTGGAATATTAAATTCTGTACAATGTGGTTTATCTCCTATCCTCTACTACCTCTCCCCCCACCCCACCTCCTACCCCCATACTTCTCTCGGTTATCCAAACATTTTTACCGTGAGGCTTGTTTAATGTACGAGAGATTCCCAGCCGACATGACAAATCACAGGAAGTTACCTGTTCTATTCTTTCTAAGGAGAGTAAAGGCCCTGAGACCGCTCAGAATCTTATGGACAATTATTTGTCACTCTGGGTTCTGGTCTTTTCCCTGCTTCCAACTAGCTATGAAATCTGTCTTAACATCCCTCCTCTGTTACTTAAAGGTGGACTAAATTATTCCTTCCAGCTACAATGTTCTATAACCCTGAGGCAATTAAAATAACATATTTAAAAGTGCTTTGTAAATATTCTTTATGATACTCAAGATTATACTATACTGTAAAACAAGTGATCTTGTAAGGTAGTCCCAACAGATGTATTCACTGTAGCTGGCCGCCTTTTATCAGCATCACTTTTCCCATATTCATTTTGAACACCTGAAATGAAGTTCAACTGTAAATGGCTCTAAAATTTGGGGAGCTGGGTAAAAACAAAGGTCTTTGCTTTGCTTTGCATTTAAATCCAGTTCTTTATATCTGTTCATACTAGTGCTTGCTTTTTCATGGCCAGAAGGCAGAAAAAGTCCCTTCTGTTGTGTGCACTTTGTCTGACCTCACGGAAATGTCTTCATGCTTTTACCTAGCAGGATCACCAGAGGCTCTGGCACACTTGCAGTCCCTGGGCCAACACTGAAGTCCTGCTGGAATCTGTGCTTGGGGGGCTGTGCCGGGTAGAGAGGGCAGTGGGAGGTAAGAGTTCTTCACCCTTCACCACCTTCTCCACCCAGCATGGCCAGCACACTTTGGTCTACGGCACATCTCCAATTATAGCGTGGGCTTTGAATGCTGTTATTTCTTACCTTGGGGATGGGGCTTCCCTGATTTGGACTATCTGGGGGACACGTAAGTGAATTTTATTTTTTTTTTATCAGAGTAGGAAGTGTTACATGTAAATGTGTCTTTTATATTGCTTTTAAGACTGAGTTTTTGTGCTGCGTA